CAGCCCTGCTTCACTCTACTGGGAAGCGAGACGTGTCCCCTTACGTTAGTGTTCGTTGAGAGGAAAATTTTATTTGGAATTTTTATGAGGGGGGATAAATATAGTCCGTTTGCATTCAGTGGAACAATATATTTTAACTTCTGTTCCCTGTAGGAGTACAGTGGGAAATATGTCATTCGCTAACTGTTTGTAAATAACATATTTACTCTGGTTATAACACAAAAATCACTGCGCTAGGAGTGTGTGCCTAACTATCTATTTGGACCAGCCGCAACAATGTGTGTAAATAAGTGATTGTATAGCAGGTATGTTGCGCTCGGTCTAAATATTTACACTGGTGTTTAGTAGGAAATATGTTAGTGATAAACGTATTGATTATTATTATTATTGCACATTGTTGCATTGGTGTTCAATGAAAAATGTTATTCATAAACTGTTATTCAGTAACATATTTGCACATGCTTGCATTTGTGTTCAGTGGAAAATGTTTTTCAATAATGTAATTGCATTGGTGTCCAATAGCAAATATATTATTTAATAACGTTTGCATTGGAGTTTAGTGGGAATGCCTATGCTGCTTACCTGAAAGCCCAGATCAGCTCTACTCTTCTCACGCTGCTGTCTCTTATTATTCAAATCGGTGCTGAACTCTAAAGCAAGTTCTGGGCTGATACTACTCCGCAGCAGCAATACTGTTAAGGGCAGTTTTGGGCACCATAACTCTAACAGCACCATTTCAGCAGATTTTAATCCACTCCAGTAGTAGACAGTAGTTGAATCCTGTTAAAACATTTACAATAGTCTTTCTTTGTAAGTAAGAGAAAAGGTTTAAGAAAATAAACCTTTAAAAACAGTAGTGAAGCTGAACTTTGTATCTGTCAAAGTAAAATACATGTTATTTTATACAATTTTTATTTTTTATATTTGCATGGGCCTCTCTATACCATTCGTCCAGAGAGATTAGCTACAGTGCCATGGGCTGTAAGTTTCTTGACAATGTTGCGCACAGAGGACACACGAACATTAAGATCTCTGGACTTTGAGATTGTCCATGCTTTTCCACAAAAACTTTGAATGCAATTATTTTTTGCAATTTAGAGAAGGTGCCAATATTTTTGTCCAGTCCATTTTTTGGGTTCTGTGTGGAATGTGTCAGATTTGGCTTTTTTTTCTCCACTTTTTTGTGTCATGCCAATACTGACAAAAGAAATAAACATGAGGACCCATGGCCACAGCATAGGAGCTCACCATAGAGCCCCTAGAGCAGACGAACGTCCGTTCTTCGTCTGCTCTGTGTGATCACTGAGACCGTGGCGCTGTAATCCTCCCTGCGTCCTATGGTCCGGTGCGCCTTATATACATTTGTAATTGAAACAATTTTCTGCACGAAGTGGTGCATTATCTGATAGAAATGCAGGGGTGCCAATATTTTTGGCCATGACTCTACCTGCCTCTGAACATAGCTTGGCAACAGAGCATATTGTTAAAACTTTGCTCATCTTTCCATGAAACTCATTGTAGCTGATCTCTTGAATCCTGGCAGAGCGCAAAGTGAACAGAACTTAACTACAAATTATTACAATTAGGATGATGATAATAATTATATCAATAAAAATATGGTTTTAGACCTGTTCACCCATTTCTCATGATATGAAAAAACAACAGCATGCAAGTTACAATGCTGAAAGGTTGTATCAACGCTTTATTATTGGATTATATGAATATAGAAATTTTACTTTTTAAGTGAATTGAGTGATTTCATGTGTTTTATATTCAGGTGGAAGAGCAGTGCCTGGATTACTATAATAGTAAAGACCTCAAAAAGAACAATGACGAAAATGTGCAGGTGGATCTTTATTATGAGAGTCTTTGTGGGGGTTGCCGCAGGTTCCTTGCTCTTCAGCTGTACCCCACATTTCTAATGTTAAATGACATTGTGAACATTACACTGGTGCCTTATGGGAATGCACAGGTATGAGTCTACATTTACATTTTACAGACTGGCAAATTTAAATGTGGGAAGAATGAGTCAGACAGTGTGCCACAGAATCATATTGTATGTACCATAAATATACATGACCAAAATTGATTATTCTTAAGTGTAGTTGTTTATAAAGGTTTACTCCTAGCGCCAATAGTATCATTCTAATTTAACACCTTAAAATTCATATAAAGATATCTCTCCCCTGAAGTAACCACAAGATACATGAATTAAGCAAGAGCTTTACTCAACCATGCCCACTCAAGACTGAAATATCAGTTTTGTGTTGAATAATCTTGCCAAACTTCCCAACGCTGAACACTCACTGATAAGATAAGATGGCGGCATCATTTTGTCTTTATGGTTATCTTTTAATTACAAATGAACACATTTCCAAATAAGTACAGAAAGCACGTGAAGAATATGTTAATTATAAAGAGGAAGGATACACAGTGCAATCACATAGAGCACAAGGTACAACTACAATATAAATTACCATAAGTATGACTATCGATAGTGATGACAGATTCAGGAAAATATGCCATTTTTGATTATATTTGACTATTTGCATGGAGATCTGTAGAAAATATGGCAAAATCAGGTCAAACCAGTCAATTGCAGTTAATAAATATGATGCCCAGAAAATTAGACAAATCTACCTACTTATCAGGCATTTTAGGATGTTTGCATTTCAGGGTTTGCCAAGTATGGAAATCAATTCACTAATGCTCACTTATATATTTATTTCCAAATTCTAACCCTCTTGACTGACACTTTAAACATATAATTAGAGTGATGTGTTTCCTTTTTCTGTCAGGAAAGAAATGTTTCAGGAAAGTGGGAATTTGATTGCCAGCATGGACCTGAGGAATGTTATGGAAACACTATAGAGGTTTGTTGAATTACTACACAAAATACCGATATTTTATAGAAGACATCTGAAAGTATCTGGTGCAATTATTTCAGTTAGTGTACCTTTTTCATTTATGAAAGGTTGAATATCTAGAAAAAGAGTAGTCTAAATAAATATATGAACATTGTTACTTCATCACGTTACAACACTGCACTTCATCATGTGTTTTTTCCTATTACATCTGCTGATTTTGACAGATTTATCTAAGCATATAAGACAAGCATGGTTCCAATTAAATTAAAGCGACATTAAAGGATATCCCCCCCAATGCTAGTGTAAGGACTTACCGTATTTTTCACTCCAAAAGACGCACTCGCCCCCCCCCCCCCCCCCAAAAAAAGGGGGGAAAGGTGGGGAAAATGTGTGTGCGTCTTATGGAGCGAATCCTTATTGCCCGACGCCCGGGACATGCAGCTTCCGGCGCCAGACGAGTGGTTTTTTTTGTACATTTAGCCCTGCTCCTGACAAGCAGAGCTACGTTCTCCGTCTGCTCTGTGTGATCACTGAGACCTTGGCGCTGTAATCACAGCCCCACCTGTCTCAGCTGTGACTAACTACAGCTGTCACAAAAGCCTACCCTCCCTGCGTCTCTATGGTCCAGTGCGCCTTATAGAGCGCAAAATACGGTATCTCAAATCATGCCTCTTGATCCGATCATCTTCTTCTTTCCAGTAGTTATCAGCAGTCCCTCCAGGGCTGTTGCCGGTCTCTGTTCCAGCGCTGACTGCTGTGTCATTTGTGTCCCAGGGAGTCTGTGCGGGTGCACGCTGCCAGGCTGCCTGCATTGACTTTCCTTGTGTCTCTCTGTGTCTCCCGGCTGAAAATCTGTACTGCGCATGCACCCGCCCCATCATCCTTTGCGGCCGCCCGAGATTTTTCAGATCTTCGGATGGGAGTGCACGGTGGAGACACAGGTACGTTTTAACCTTTTTCGGAACTTTTTTTATTTTTAATGTTTTTGCATATATCTACTGCTTGCTAGCAGTAGATATATGCAAAAAAAACCTGAGGGTTTAATTATCCTTTAAAGAGCCAACATTTCTTTTTGCTATTTTTAGATAGTTGTCACTGGAACAGGTCTTTTCATTAGAATATTTCCCCTCACCTCTTCTGGGGACAATATTTTGGATTTGCCCTCACTTTTGTTTCTCAGTGACAATAGTTACCAATACAAAAATAGGGGTAAATCTCGCCAATGGAGACACAAACATCACTTAAAAAAAGTGGTCCCTACTCTATCTAAAACTAAAATCAATGGTTTTGCCAAGTGATACAATTTAAATGATATAACCTTGTCAAAAACCTAATTTATGACAAATCTGATTATGGTAAAAAAACACACATTAGCAATATCTATTTATCTAGTGCCATCTCCTGTGGCACTGTACAAAGTAACTGGTAATAAAACACGTAAAATATTCCAAATAGCAATAGTGCAACTGTGAAAAACAAAAGAAGGAACAGTTTTACCCCAATGAGTTTACAATCTAGGGAGATCATTTAAAATCTAGAGAAATATAATGAAAGTATAAAATGTTGTACTTAACTGAAATCATTGGCATATAGTGTAATAGTGTAATTTTATATTTTGTTTATATGTCTAGGCATGTCTTATGTACCTCCTGAAGGAGAACGCTGACTACTTTCCTATCATCGACTGTATGGAAATGTCCCCCAATGTTACCAGTGCATTACAGCCAGTAAGTCAGTAATGATTAAAGTGACCTAACTTATTCAGATAAATACATACTGTAGGTACTTTTTTAGACTACACCTAACTATTGTAAAAAGTTCTATAAATCTAGAATTTTCTTCATATACTGTAGGGTTATAAACATCCAAATTGCATATATTTAATATACTTTAATATATATATATATATTCATAGTTAACATAATTATACATATTTACATACTTACATAGTATTTGAGGTTGAATAAAGATACAGGTCCATCTAGTTCAACCTTTGTGTCTGTGTTGTGCGTGCATGTGTGTCTATGAGTCCCATTGTGGTCTAGTTTTGTACCAGTACCCCTATATGTTACGGTCTCGGAGGAAGGTATCTAATTGATTTTTGAATTATTCAATATTCTCTGCTGATACCAGTGATGTGGCAAAGAGTTCCAAAATGTAACCATTCTGACTGAAAAGAAGCCCCTTCGCCCTTTGTGGTTAAATCTTTTCTCCACTAATTTTAGGTGGTAGCCTCTAGTCTTTGTTAGGGGGTTTAGAGCAAAAAGTTTATTGCTGATGTTGCCATCCTCTCTAAACATTTTGTGCAGCAAAATCATGTCTCCTCTTGACCTCCTCACTTCCAGCGTGAACAAGTTTAAATTTAGCAACCATATCTCACAGCTTTGGTCCTTCAGCCCTTAATTAGTTTTGTTGCCCTTCTCTGGACTCTCTCCTGTTCAAGGACATCCTTTCTGCGGATTGGTGACCAAAATTGAACTGCAACTCAAGATGAGACCGAACCAGTAAACTATAAAGTGGCAAAATTATTTATTTGTCTCTACAGTACATTCACTTTTTAATGCATGACAGTACTCTGCTAGCTTTGTTTGCCACAGCCTGGCATTGCGTGCTGTTGTTCACTCTGTGGTCTACTATGACCCCCAAATCTTTTTCCATTTCTGACTTCCCTAGTGGAATATGCTTTAATGTGTATTCTGCTTGTCTATTTTTAACCCCAAAATGCATTACTTTACATTTTTCAACATTAAACCTCATCTGCCATATAGTTGCCCACTACCCTATTTTATCCAGGTCCTCCTGTAATGTTATAGTGTCTAATCCCGTGTCTATTACCCTCCCAATTTTAATATCATCTGCAAACACAGAAACATGGCTATTAACACTTTCCCCAATATCATTAATAAACAGGTTAAGCAGTATTGGGCTTAGCACAGAACCCTGAGGCACGCCACTTTCGACCTTAGACCAATTTGAAAAAGAGCCACTTTTTGGACACATTCCTGTAGCCAGTTCTCTATCCATGTACACACCGTTTAAGCTTGTGTATTAAGATTTAAGCTTGTGTATTAAGCGTTTATGTGGTACCGTGTCAAATGCTTTGGAAAAATCCAGGTACACCACATTCACTGGCCTTCCTCTATCCAGATCTCTACTCAGCTCTTCGTTAAATGTTAGTAGGTTGGCCTAAAAAGAACGGTCTTTCATAAATCCATGCTGATTATCATTTATTATACTATTGTCGCAAACAAAATCCACTAAATATTACCTTATCATTCCCTCAAACAGTTTGCATACTATTGATGTTAGACTGACTGGTCGGCATCTTGGCATCTTGAACCTTTTTTCAATATTGGTACTACCGTAGCTTTACCGCAATCACTTGGTACCCTTCCATTCAGTATGGAGTCCTTGAAAATGAGGAATAATAGTCTCACTATAACCTGGCTGAGCTCTTTAAGTACCCAATGGTACATGTTATCTGGTCCTAACGATTAATTTGCATTACGTTTTTCAAATCTTTGTTTAACCCCAGCTACCTACAACCACTGTGGTATCTTATGCAATACCACTTCTCGTCAGTGTTCATTGTTAGAAATAATTTGTCCCATTTAGTGTCATACACTTATCAAAGTTTACCTTTTTGAAATGTAGGGGTCTATTCACTCAGCTACCGTAGGCAGCTGAGTGAATGACCGACCTAAAGCGAAGTGAGCCGAACGCAGTTCTGCTATTCAAGGTCCCTCTGTGGAACCGAGCAGAACAGAAAAATAGTTTAAAAAGTAGAAAAAAATAAATTAGAAAACGATTGTGCGGAGCTTGCAATGACAGCTAGCTCCGCCCAACTGTTTTCTATTGGCCAGCGGTTCTGCTGCCGTCAAAAGAAAATAACTCTCCCGGGCCGCTCCGGGAGTCTCCCGCTCCAGGCCGCCAAGGAGAGAAACACTGCTTTTTCTTCTTTTTTCTTTATTCTGGCACGGAGCTGTGTCAGAATAGGAAAAAATAAATAAAACATTTTGGCCATAGGAATGCATTGCCAGATTCCTATTGGCTATTGCAAATTGAAATAGCCAATAGGAATCTAGCAATGCATTCCTATGGCCAAAAATTATTCTATATTTTTTTCTATTCTGACACGGCTCCGTGTCAGAATTAAGAAAAAAAAAGATAAAGCAGTGTTTCTCTCCTTGGCAGCCGGGAGAGTTTGCTGTCTTGAGATCGATGTCCCTGGTTAGCTGGTAACCAGGGACTCTGATCTCTCTGCAAGTGGCCGGAGCCAGCCGTAACATCACGGCTGGCTCCGCCCAGCTGTCAGAAGCAGGCTGTCCGCCGGCCAACGGCCGGCCAGCTTCGGCTTGCAGCGCGGCTCAGCCGAGCTGAGGCATATGCGTTCGGCTCGACTGAGCCGCTCGGCCAAGTTCGGGAGCTGTACGGTCTATAGTGAATAGCCCGTACAGCAGCCCTTCGGTTCTACTGAACCGAAGGGGTCCTGGGGCCGAAGCTAGCCGAAGGATCGGCCGAAGCTATGGCTAGATCCTTCGGCTGCTTCGTGAATAGACCCATTAGTGTTCTTGTCAACTGAACACACTTCTCTTTTCTGTACCCAACATTAAACTAATAACCCTGTGATCACTATTACCCAATGTATCCCTAATTGCTATATGTCCAACCAGGTCCACATTATTTGAAATGAATAAATGTAGTATAGCATTCTTCCTGGTTGGGACATCAACCATCTGATCCATGAAATTGTCCCGCAACAGATTTGGGAAACGGCCAGCCTTTATAGAATGAGCAGTTCCATTTGACCAATCAATGTCTGGATAATTAAAGTCACCCATTCTAACAACATTTCCCTGATTCCCAGCTATTTTTATTTGGGAATGTAGGTGAACCTCCTCCTTTTCCCTTATGTTTGGGGGTTTAAAGCACACACCCACAATTAATTTACAACTAGCTTATCTAATTCTAGCCACAAAGACTCAACACCATCGCAACTCTCTGTCGTGAGGTCATCTCATATGTTCACAGTTAGATTGTTTTTCACAATCATGCATACCCCTCCCACACTTCTACCAACCCTCTCCTTCCTGAACAGGTTGTACCCTTGTACATTAGTTGCCCAGTCATGTGAGCTGTCTAGCCAAGTTTATGTTATACCCACTATATCGAAGTCTTCTTTGAGTAGCATAAGTTCAAGCTCCTCTAATTTGTTTGCTAGGCTACTAGCATTCGTGTACATACATTTTCGTTTAGTGCTAGTGGTTTGAGTTTTATTATTGCTCATTCCTGATACCCAACTAATTTCTTTATCTGACCTCGATACGGTTGATATATTACTGATTAGATTGACTGGAGTGTGCCCTCTATATTAACTGCAGCCACTTGTTCAGTTCTCTCAACTCCCTCTGCCTCTCTGGAGTGGCTCTTGGCACCAGAAGTATTTCAGAAAATACTACTGAGGAGGTCCTTTTCTTTAACCTAGCACCTAAGTCTTTGAACTCGTTTTTTAGAACATTCGATCTGCCTCCAATTTTGTCATTGGTGCTAATGTGTATCATGATAGCTGGGTCATGCCCAGCCCCATCCAATAAACTATCCATCCGTTCCGCAATGTGTAGAACACGAACCCCTGGTAAACAACAGACTGTTCGACACTCACGGTCCCAGTGACAGATTACCCTGTCTGTCCTTCTGATAATAGAGTCCCCCACCACCAATATCTGTCTCTCATGTCCTATCCATCCTGCCACCCCTGAACTACTATGCCCAACATCCTGCAACCTGGCATATTTATTGGGGTGTGTCAATTCAGGACTAGCCTCTCTTGCGCTCTTCCCTTTACCCCACCTTCTAACGGTAACCCAGCTACACATCTCAGGGTCCTGCTCTTCATACCGCCCTCCACCAGAACCTGATGAGTCAGATCCAAACTTTTTTCCATGTTGTTTATGCTCTGCAGTGTTGCCAGTTGATTGTTTAGATCAAGAATCTGTGACTCCAAACAAACTAGCTCACATCTGGTGCAACAGTACTCGCCCTCAAACGCATGTTCAAGAAGCGCATACATTGAGCAAGATGTGCACTGGGTTGCATTACCACTCATGGAAGATATTTTTTAAAATGTTAATTTAGGCCCAGATATAACTCAAAATGACCGTAGTATTACACCAAGTATCCAACAATAATCAAAGTTTTCAAAGCATACGTCTACAGTGCCTGATGATTAGGTGCCCCACAGTAATAATTCCCCAGGAGATTAATACTACCAATTCCCAGCAGTTAATAGTAACACAGTTATTACCACAGAAGTTCCCCAGCAGACTAATACTACCAATGCACAGCAATTATTAGTAACACAGTAATTCCTCTGCAGATTAATACTACCAGTGCGCAGCTTCTCATACGATAATCGCAAAGTGTATGGAAGGCGTGCGACCGTTTCTACTGTACGGTCGCACGTCTTCCGTCGAACAAGCATGATTCTCGGCGGGTTAGTGGCCTGCTTGTTCGACAACTGCCGAACGGCTGGTGTGCGCACGCACACACTGCCCGTTTGCAGTCATCGGAAGCCGCCCCTCATTGCAGCCATCGGAAAAGCCCGCCCCTCATCGGGACGGGCTTGCGATGATTGCAAGTACGATCTGCCTGTCCAAGATGGGCAGATCGTACGTTTTTTAAATTACTTTACAACCCTCGCAAAACAAAAGTCTTGCGAGGGTTGTAAAGTGTATGGCCACCTTTAGAGACTGATCCTGACAGCATGTCAGATTCAGATCTCACTAAAGGTCTTTGATCGTGCCTAGATGATCAGAAGTGATACATTTCAGGCAAAGAGATACATTGTATCTCTTGTATCTCTGTGCCTGAACTGTATCATAAACATCCACTATCCTTTCAAAACAAATAGCAGAGGGGTGAGTCACTGCTACCTCTCTGCTATTTTCAGCTGTCAAATATGGGATTGCTATTTAGCGCTCCTATATTTGCATGTAACGGCTTCATTCTTTCATTAATGAAAGAAAGAAGCTTTTACAAAAGCTTAACTATTTTATTAATGAAGGCCTTAATACTGAGGCATTCATCATTGACTGGTAACCGCTGCGAACCAGCGGTTACCGGCATTACAGAGCCTTAAATAACTCGTCACATACAGGGTACGTGGCCAGTCATATAGGCACTTTGTGACGGGACGTACAGTGTACCCTCTCAGTCTCCTCTTTTTAAGAGTGCACAACGCTTGCAGTCTTTCCTCATAGTTTAGGTCCCCTAACCGCTTTATTAGCTTTGTCGCCCTTCTCTGGACTCTCTCCAGCTCAAGGACATCCCTTCTGTTGATCTGTGACTAAAACTGGATCGCATACTCAAGATGTGGCCGGACCAGTGTTTTGTACAGGGGCAGAATTAAGCTTGCCATACACCTATATATTTTCCTCTAGATTTTTTTCTATCAGCCTATGGCCCGTTGGCTCTCAAAACACCTGAACAATGCCTGCATCCAATCAGATTGTTCAGGTATTTTGACTAGCAAAATACTGAAGCTTGGCCCGGCGGGAGATTCCTCCATCCACACAGTCACAGTTTAGCGTAGATGCCGGAATCTATTGTACTTTTTCCATCTGACCATAAGCTGAAAGAAAAAAATCTATAGGTGTATTGCCAGCTATATGGATTTGTCTTTACGGTACAGTTCCTTTTTGTACATCATAGTACACTGCTCGCCTTATTTGCTGCTTCCTGGCTTTGCATACTGTGGCTAAGGCGACAGTCCACGAGGACTCCCAAATCTTTTTCTACCTCTGATGCCCCCAGTGGAATGCCCTAATGGCATCAGTAGCTCGCGCTCATATTTTTAACTCCAAAATGCAAAACCTTACACTTCTCAATATTAAACCTCATCTGCCATGTAGATGCCTTCCTCCCTATTTTATCAAAATCTACCTGTAATATTTCTATGTCTTCTGTCGAATTTATTACCCTACAAATTGTGGTATCGTCAGTAAAAATGGAAATATTGCTATTAATAGCAGTCCCAATATCATTGATAAACAGGTTGAACAACAATGGCCCCAAGATAGAACCTTATAGCATGCCACTGTCAAACGAGGACCACTTGGAAAATGAGCCATTTATTGATACTCCCTGGACACATTCACCTAGCCAGTTCTCTATCCAAGTACACACCATGTCATCAATGCACAAAGATTGAAGCTTGTAAATTAAACATTTATGAGATACCGTATCAAATGCTTTTGCAAAATCAAGGTACACTACATCCACTGGCTTTACTCTGTCTAGGTTGCCACTCAACTCTTCATAGAACGCTAATAGGGTGGTTTGACATGAACGGTCTTTCCTGAAGCCATGTTGGTTGTCACTTATGATATCATGCCCATCAGCATATTCATGAATATGGTCCTTTATCATAACCTCAAATAACTTGCATACTGTCAATGTTAGGCTGACTGGTTTATATTTCCCAGGTATGCATCTCAATCCTTTTTGAAATATTGGTACAACAGTTGCTTTACGCCACTCAGCTGGTACCTCCTCAGTCAGTATGGAGTCCTTAAAGATTAGGAACAATGGCCTCGCTATTATCATACTTAGCTCTTTGAGTACCTGTGGGTGCAAGTTATTTGGGATTTAATCACATTTAGTTTTTCTAGTCTGCTGTATTTTCTAGTGGTATTTTCCTCCCAGTGCTACCCAGATTCCTGTTCTGTTAATTAAACCCATCGCTTTCCCTAGTAAATACTGTGGAGAAGAATGCATTTAACATTAATGAGATTAATTCCGTAACAAAGACTAGAGGACACCACCTAAAACTGGTAGAAAAAAAATTAGAACACAAGGGGCGAAGGGGGTTCTTCTCAGTTCGCGCGGTTAGGGTCTGGAACTCACTGCCTCAAGCGGTAATTTCCGCAATTAATCTGGAATCATTCAAGAGCCTTTTGGACGACTTCCTTAGAGACCGAAATGTACAAGGGTACAGGTACTCTTAAGAATGAGAACACTCATGGACCTATACACACACACACACACACACTCAATATTAAACCTCAGGTTGGACTTGATGGACTAATGTCTTTATTCAACCTCAAATACTATGTAACTATGTAACTTTGCCCATCTCCCTGTCATTTGTAATCAAGCTCCCATTCTCATCCTTTATGGGACTCACCTGTTCCTTTCTTACCTTTTTTATTATTATTATTTTTTATTCATTTTATTTTTTTTTCAGTATGGCATGAACAAAATGTGGAGAATTAAAAAGAAGTGCCTTTTTATTTATTTTGCAATAACTTTGTCATGCTTTGTACCAGAAACATCATTTTAATTTTAGTATGACAAAATCTAGAATAAAATGTATTTTATCTACCATAACACAATTTTAAAACTAACATTAGTAAAAATAGAAAACTTATTTTTCCTTACATGTCTATAGATTACATAGAAAATAAAATAATTTTTGCAAGACAATATTACCAATTTAAAGCTTAGTTTGACCACCCAAAAGTAATGTACGTATTGCTTTGCTATCATAGTTATCACCAAATAAGCAGGCCCCTAGCAAAATGGAGAAATTTACATAAGGGGTGCGGAAACTGAAGTGGTCAATTAATTTGAACTTCTTTTAATTTGAACTTCTTTTATTCATTCCTCTGCAGTGCCTTGAGGCCTTGAAGCCAGAACTGCCAGTCAAAACAGTACTGGACTGTGTGAATGGGGACCTTGGAAACAAACTTATGCACGCTAATGCTCAGCGAACCCAGGCTCTTAACCCGCCACACCAGTATGTGCCATGGATAGTTATCAATGGAGTGAGTACATGCTACATAACTAACCTATCTTGCCATCTTGCATGTACAGTATGTGTTTGTATGAGAAAAAGCTGGATAGATTTGTGGTGCACATTTTGTTTGGGCTTAAAAAGAAACAAAAGAAAGGTGAGAGAAAAGGGCTACATAGTGTCATTTTCTCTTTTCACAAGGATAGTAGTGTGCACAGAAAATATCTCCATGTATAGAGATCTTTTGTTCTATATTTAGGTGCTACTTAAATAGAAATGATGGAGAAAAACAGGTAATTAGATGCCATTATGTCTTACTATTCTTAAAGATAAAAACCGGGCAAAAGTTTTCTTAACCCTTGCAGTGGGATTACCCACTCTAGACCCATGGTCTAGATGCAAAAATAACAAAAAGTTATACTTACCAGATCATCTGACCCAGCTGGCTGTTACTGTGCTTCCTGCAGCCTGTCTTCTCCACCACTGCAGCTATGGTATGTCCCTCGGTGTCCTCACAGTGATTACTCAAGGATCCTTAGACCAGTGGAGCAGAGGGGGAGAGAGGCTGTAAGGACGAGCCTAACAGCCAGCTGGCTGCAAGAATTGGATGAGTATAACTTTTTTATTTTTGCACCTAGACAAAAACAAGCACTGAACCCTTGCAGTGCGGGGGGTAACCCCACTGCAAGGGTTAGGAAAAGTTTCCATTTGAAGTCTTTCATAGCATTTTCGGATTTCTCAATCTGTCTCTTGACCATTCCAGATAATTTTTTCAAGAGAAACTACTGTCACAAAATGAGAAAAAAAGTTATATATCCTAATACTGTTTCTTAATTTTAGTAAATACCCCTTCAGGTATCAAAAGAATGACTTCCTTTCTTTACTATCAAAAATCCTTTTGCTTCTCTGAGAACTCTCACCTCTTGTGTTTAACAACTTTTGCATCCCTTTTCTAGGAGTGAGGTGCCTGGACTCATTGTTATGGGGCAAAAAAACTAATAGGGGGTCATATTGTTAATGGAACCTCAAACTAAGGGCCCCCTATCATACTAGAAATGACTGTGTTGTGGAGATTGGATAGTGAGGCTCATCAGCAAAGGAAACAGGAAGAAGGCTTTGGAATGAAGGCTTTGGAATCCTTTTGGGCATGTGCTCTAGGACTTCTGTTACTAACCCTGGCACTGGGGCTACCTCATTTGTGTCTAGGTTAACAAAAAACCTCAAAGCTCTGAGCCAGCTTCTTCTTAGATGGGTACCTGGAATGGCTCTCCACTCCTCTGTAGCTGCCTATGGTCCAGTAAATCATCACATGTGCATAGCTGTGAGGATACTGAGGAACATTCCAATGTGCTGCGGAAGAGGGGTCAGGCTGGAGAGAGTGACATGACAGTGACATGACACGACAGTGGCCCGGCTTAGAGCTTTTGGTGAGTATATCTTTGTTATTATTTTAGCACCTAGACACAAACGACCACTGAAGCGTTGCAGTGCAGGGGTTGCCCCACTGCAAGGGTTAAAAAAACATTCCTGGCATTCTTCTTTAAATGCTCCATCTGGGAGTGCAAAACCTTATGCTGTTGGCATATGTCAAACTATGCAAGATATAAATCTGGATAAAAGGTGCCAATCAAAGAGTTTGGGAGAAACTTGAGAGAGCAGGCATTAGAGCGGACCTTAGACCAATAGATTAAGTTCCCCTCATTTGCTTCCTCCCCCCTCCCTATTACATAATTGCATAGTAAAGCAAATTCATTATTTTTGGTGGTGCGCACACCTACTCTCTCATTCCTAGGTGAGGACAAATGCGCAATTCCTACATGCACAAACGCCCATCAACAGGGGGTCAGCTGTCAACATCAGGAAGTCAAAGCTGCTATCTGAATCCAAGATGGCGGCACTGTAGAAAATAAATGCTGCAAAGAATTAAAGTGTGAGGAAGACAGCGCTGGACTCTATGGGGTTGATTTACTACAGTCAAATAGGATACTGTTTTTTTTTTCTTTGCACATTATTGGGTATTCTTTGCAAAGTGAAATTTCAGCACATTTACCAAGTGAAGTGCAAATTCCCTTGCAGAGTGAACAGCCTATTTGCCTTTAGTAAATCAATCCCAATGGACTGGTAAGTGTTTTTTAATACCCTACAGCAACATTACTTGTAGCGGGATAGCCAAGTGGAAGGCCTGTTTAAGTGGACCTCAAGCACTCAGTGGTAAGGATATGTTGGTGACACCTGCCAGTGGGATAGTTTAGTCCCAGATGATGGGTTGCAGGAAGTATAAAGGAACATACCCCTGATTGTGATTGGCAATGCAGAGATATGTGGAGATATTGGAACAATGATGCAAGCAGGAGTCAGTGCTACCTATCCTTTGAAAGGAGCATCAGACACAGAAGGTTGCGACTCAAGGCCCAGATAACATTGCACTGATCAAATAGGTTAGCAATCCCTGAGTGTCTGGAATCATTAAAGTTTTATTACATTACTAAAATGTAATGACATATCAATATGGATTCACATATTAATTAAAACCACATCTGTAACAATATAATTACTGAAGAGAAAAAATAAATACCGTTTTATTACTGTTTTAGTGTTACTTTCAAGAAAGTTTCTATATTTTATATTTTTCTGGCATCATTATAATATTATGTTGACAAATATCAGTTTTTGGCTCGATAGTTACATTGTATTGCATGTTATTGCAATTTGGGCTACTAAAGATGTAATTGGACATCAGTCTTAGGCCCATCAACATAAGTTGTTTCCCATGTGGTAGGCAAATGATTATTTATGGGTACACTGCATACAATTCAGATTCCCCTTTCCTAACGATCACAAAGTATCAGTTGATTGAAGTGAACTTTATTGGCTGATTTTTATTATTTACCTTTACCCCTAAGGTAAAAACTATTTCAGAGGTGTGAGCACAGCGCATTAACGTGCAGTTTTCCAGTTTAAGAACTTATATGATGTCAATGTCATTCTAAAGTGTGTATTGTCATGTACAATGGAACCTTTATATTATCTGGTTTTTTTTAGAAACATACCGAGGATCTGCAGACTCGAGCTCAGAATTCATTATTTAATCTTGTCTGTGAACTTTACAAAGTAAGTACTGTACATTTGACATAGTGGGGCTATGTTGCCAATGTGTTGGTGACAACACTTTACAATCTACTTGTATTGTTTTGCACATTGTTTTCAAGGACAGGTAAATGCACTGTTTTAGCCTGTTTGCCAATCTTTTAGCAGCCAATTGCTGTTTCATATAAGAAACTGTGAATTTTAAATCTCTTTTATAGAAGGGCACAAGTTTTATTATTGTCCTTGCAGTTATACTCACCTAATCCTCAGAGCTTTTAGACCATTCCCTGGAGCGTCTCTCCCCCTCTGCTGCAGCGGTCTAAGGTCCTGTGAATTAACACATCCAATACAGTGTATTGGAAGTTGGGAAGCTGAGAGACAAGCCATTGCTGCAACAAAGTAAGAGAGAGGCTGGAGAGAGCGCTTCTGGGTCTGAGGATCGGGTGAGTATAACCCTAGCCAAAAACAAGAAGTTAACCCTTGTTATTGGGTAGCCCCAATCCAGGGGTTAATAAAATGTGTCCCTTCTTTAAAGTAAACAGTAGAGAGGAATCATGGCACACTCACAAGTCAGCATGTAAAAAAACTTGTTTCACCGCTAAGGTTAATAACAGAGGTTTGGATACACGTCTTCTGCAGAAAATGTGAAAGCCGCACAGCCAAGGCACCTCTTATAGTGCGGTCCTAACTCTAAACTATGAGAGTCTCCATCTTGGAGCACATGGGGGCAGAAGATTTCAAATTGGGTGCAGGTTTGTCAGGAGGAAGCCCAACCTCCAATTGTTGAGTGCGTTTGTCATTTGTTTTGCTTGACCTTCTTTAAAGTATAGTTCAGTCATTTGAACAGGACAGATTAAGAGAAGAGGAAGATGAATACATTTTCATCTTTTTTTTTTTCTTTTATTGTTCGTCCTTTACATCTTTAAAAGTGCCCGTTCATTAGTCAGATGACTCTTCCACTTACTTCCTTCCCTACATCTTTAGGGAATTACATTGTCACAACAATAATGCATTTCTAAGCTTTCCTTAAAAAAAAAATTTTAAATAGGAAAGATGTCTGGTATTAATAAGACATAAGAAGTTCTATGTTATTACCAAATATGTATTGGTTTAATATTTTTGATATTTTGATGCCCTTTATCAGAAGGAGAGATGATAATTTTTTTTCTAGTTTTCTTTTTTTGTTCAGTGAGAGGAGGTATCGACTGTAGTGAACCCAGTAGGGTAAGCAAGAAGTGTTTTATTTGTAAGAGTTGAAAAAGATCTCTGGATGTCAATTTATGTTTGACTTGGAGAGTAGGAAACGGTAGGATGCCCTTATCTGAGCAAAAGAATTTGACCAAGTGTAGAGAACTAGAGTGCCAGTGCCTGAAAGTGATAGGATTAAGGTAACCTGGTAAAAAATAGCGGATTATTTAGGATGGATATCAAGGGAAACCCAACCTAAAGGGCGTTTCAGACCATCCCAGATCCTCAGAGTATTTCTAGTAATGAGACTAGTCACTACCCTCCGAAGTTTAGGCAGCCATGGGAGGTTGATAAGCGATATTGGAGCACATAAAAAAAGCCTAGAGAGATGATTCTTTTATCTGGTTGCATTACACATACATCTTTGTTTTTGGCATAGTATACCTTTGAGAAGGAGATACTGCTTGCTTTTTGCTTTCTGTCATCTTACAGACTCATATAAATAAGGTCCAAGTAGCATCCCTGGTGTACACAGTTGGATTGATCCTTGTAACACAATACATACGGGAATACAGCAAAGTATACACGTTATGTTGTGTTGCCATAAAAAATTAATGAGTGTGGAAGAGTCAGTGCTCCTGACGTAGTCCTCATCTTCCAGAATGGTATCCAGCATGACCCCTAATCATAAAGCATGTTATGCTACATGCCCCTTGTACATGACATGTGTGTGCAAACAGAAACTGTGACCAAAAGTGCCAACTGAGAAATAAACTAATTTTCAATATTCTTTTTAAACAGGGAACAAAACCAGCTGCTTGTACGGGAAAAGATGTGACACCTTTGAAAAGGGATTCTTTATGCTTAAACTAAACTATTGTGAAGAAAAAGTTTCAAGATGTTAAATAAGTGAATGATAATAAATCTCTGTTAACGTGATTTTTCTGATATTAAAATGTAATTTTTAAACAATCAAATTTGGTTCCAATGGCTTGATTCAATAAAAAGTATGATGACCAACTAAGTTACACGTGGGTAAATCTTTTACCCAAAGTATAAAGTAACATTATTTTATAGAGGTGTTGCTACTTTTTGTTTGGACCTGTAATAAGAAAAATAGTTGCCATTGATCACCAATGAAAATGCAAAATACCTGGCTGTTATATTGAGTAACTGGCTTTATCATCACTTCCAAGTAAGAAAAAAGTATTTATGTACACAAATGAGGCAGCTAGCATTTTCTGCAGGAAAGTCAGCAACGGTGTCCTTGATGTTTCTCTTGCAGCAAACAGCTACATTTACAGTATATACAGTATTTATATAGATTCACAGACACACTGGGGTTGATTTACTAAAGGCAAATAGGATGTTCACTTTGCAAGGGAGTTTTCGCTTAGCTTAGTGAATGTGGTGAAAAATTAAAGTGAGTATTTTTGCTTGTGCATGATTGGATGAAGGATGGTAGCAACCTGTTTGCCTTCTATAAGTTAACCCCACTCTGTTTTGCACACTCCTATAGCAGATTTAGGGGAAACTTTACCTAGGGGGTCTGTTTAAAATTATTTTTGCATACCTTATTTGTCCCGCAAAACTGCATATACTGTACATTTGTTCTGTGCAAGTTAACCAGTTGTAAGAATGGGCAAAAACAAATGTTCTTATTGTATTTTCTCTTGTGGTTGAATGTTCCTCAATAGGTCCATGTATACAGAACAGAGTAAAAAATTCACAATATGGCCACTAAATTGGGTGAAGGATCTAGTGGCCATAATGCAGTATTTTACCCATTCACTTCGATTTGCATTTGTTTTTGCCCCATTCTCACAACAGCTAGTTTAAGTGTGTCTAAAACCCAAAACAAAAATGTAAGAAGTTTAACAATCCTTACATGTGGTGACTGCATTTGTTTTTCCCCTGTTTATTTTCACTTGGTGATCCAGCCAGTAACACGCACCCTATCTTAGGTTGCTTCACTCTATGGAGAAGCAACAGAGCCACACTTGGACAGCAGCATTTTCAGCTCCAGATAAAACAAATTTAGACAGTTACTTCAAAAGTTTTTTTTCCTTTTGGAATAAAGGTTTTGCCTAAATGAATAAATGCTGAACATTGCAAGCACCTCTGCCAGTGTTAAATGGTTTGTTTCAACCCTTTATCTGTCTGTTAAAGGACATTGAAAAATAACATCCTGGCTGGATTACCAGGGAAAAATAAAGGGGAAAAAAGCCAAAAACAAGAAAACTAATGCAACCATTACAATTAAGGATTGGAAAACTGCATTATAATAAATTTTTGTTTTGGGGTTTGGATACTCTTTAGCTTGCACAAAACAAGTGTACATGCAGCTTCACTCACAAATAAGTTATGCAAATGTTGTATAAATTGACCCTATTATTATTATTATTATACAGGATTTATATAGTGCCAACAGTTTGTGCAGACCTTTAAAAAATAGGGGGAGACAGTACAGTTACAATACAATTTCAGTACAATTAGGGTTAGGAGGGCCCTTGCTCGTGAGAGCTTACAATCTAGTAGGAGGAGCAAGTGACACAAAAGGTAATAATTGTGTGGGATGGTTTAATGGAAGAAGTGAAAGGACGGTTATGTTGAGGTTGAGTAGGCTTCCCTGAAGAGATGGGTTTTCAAGGATCACTTAAGGTGGACAGATAGGAAATAAGTGGACATATTGGGGTAGGGAGTGCCAGAGAATAGGACACACTCTAGAGAAGTCACCGAGGTGAGCATGCGAGGAGGGGACAAGAGAGCTGGAGAGCAGACGGTCTTGAGAGGAGTGGAGAAGACAGTTTGGGTGACATTTTGAGATGATGTGGGTGATGTAGCTGATGGCAGAGTTGTAGATGGCTTTGTATATGTTGTTGTTAATATTTTGAATTTTATTTGTTGGGCAAGTGGGAGCCAGTGGAGAGATTGGCAGAGAGGGGCGGCAGACACTGAACGGTTTGTAAGGTGGATGAGTCTGGCAGCAGCATTCATGACAGACTGAAGGGGGGATAGCCTGTTTAGTGGCAGGCCAACAAGGAGGGAGTTACAGTAGTCATGGTGAGAGATTACAAGGGAGTGAATTAGAAGCTTTGTGGTGTTGTTTGTTAAAAAGGGGCAAATTTCTGTAATGTTACAGAGATTGATTCGGCAATATTTAGATAGTGATTGGATGTGGGGCTGAAAGGAGAGCACAGAATCAAGGATTACTCGGAGCACGCTGGCTTGGGGGGAGGGTTTGATCGTAGTGCTGTTGATTGTGATGGAGAAGTCTGGTGAGGGAACACGGAGAGGAGGATAAGCTCAGTTTTGGATAGATTGAGTTTGAGGTAGTGGTGTGACATCCATATTGATATGTGAATGAGTAGATTAGTACAGTATGAAGAGACAAAGGGGGTGGTTACTGACAGAATACGGAGCGACACCAGAGACACAGCAAGAGTACAGACCAGAATGACTGCATGTTTGCTGGGGGTGTGATAGAGGCGCAGAGTATGAGAACACTGTGAACATCTATAGCAATAGTAAAAGTCACAAGTGACACAGGGGCTTAGAATGCACTCACTAAAGCGACATGAGACAGCACTGAGATTCTGCATGCAGTAGCAAACAAGGAAGGGTTGTGATTCAACACAGAGGTACGGGATCACTGGTTCACAGAGGAGAGTATTTTACAACCCTGCTGATTAAGTCAGCAGATGATGCACAGGGAGAACTGTCTGAACAGAGCGTGTAGAGACTTACAGGTACTCACAGGCGGCTCAGTTCAACTCACAGCTCACTCATGAATTGCAGCTCTCTTGCAGTAAACACAGGAGTGCACTAGGAGCACAGAGGAGTCCAAAGAAAACACTGGAATCAATAGTTCAGGTATAACAGCAGTGCACAGGGATTCTCAGAAAGCAGGATGTAAGCGTCAAACACAGGTGCATCTAGTGCAGTGCAAAGCAAAGAGTCCAGGAAAGGTACAACGATGTCACTACTGATCAACACAGGATCACACTGGGAATGCAGGGGAGTCCAGAGATGACACAAAGAAAGCTCCTGTGATATACAGAGGAACATACGAAAGTGCAGAGGAGTCCAGAGTAGACACGAGAAGTCTCTTTTGATAAACAAAAGGTTTACATTGGGAATGCAGGGGAGTCCAGTGAAGAAACAGGCAATCTCTTGTGATACATGGAGAAGCACAAGAGGGGTCCAGGAAAGATATGGTAAGTCTCTTGTGATAAACGCAGGTTCACACTGGGAATGCAAGCAAGTTCAATGATGGAGGCACTAGTGGTAAATACAGGAAGGCCACGGGAGCGTGGAAGAGTCCGGGGAAGGGATAAGGGAGTCACTTGTGGTAAACGCAAGGAACACAAGGGTGTCTTGGGATGCACAAAGCAAACTAAGAAGCACTGGGGGTTCTCGGAATGCACAAAGCAACTTCAGGAAGCACAGGGGGTCCACGGGATGCACAAAGTCAACTAGGAAGCACTGGAGGTACACGGAATGCACAAAGCAAACACAGGGGGTTCGGCAGGTACAACTGACACATTGTCCGAATCCCAAGCAACAGGTGTGCTATCTCTTTAAGGGAGAGGCTGAGAAAGGATTGGCTGCAGGCCGGAGACCTGCACTTGGCTGGGAACCAAGCACCTCGGACACAGGGAAAAACCCAGCACCGTGGCACAGGTAAGAGTGACAGATAAGGGTACATTTAAGTTCTTCATCTCCCTTAAAGTGACACTAAACTCAGGAGTTAAATCTTAAAATTGCATTCAAGTAGCCTAACTATTCACACAAATGTATCTTATTTATGTATAACTCGGCTGTAGATCCTCAAATCATCTCAGAATTGGTCCTGACACTGTCCTTCCTTCTGGACGGTGGCTACTTTTGTTCCCCATGGTCCCTGTGTGTGTTCTAAAGTAGCCACCGCTCCAAGCTCGTTCCCATGATGGACTGCAATCTCACATTTATTTTATTAATTTGTATTAAGATTGTGGTCCATCACAGGAGTGAGCTGGGAGTCGGCGGCCGTTGTTCATTGTGATTGACGAGGATCTACATCGCTGGACAACTTGAGATGGATTGCATTGATGGACACTTTTTGGTTTTTTTTTAGGGGGGTGGGAGGGGTTTGGGAGTTAAAGGAATGAGAAGCTGCTGGTGGCGGAGGGGTTTTAATGGAATGAGAAGCTGCTGGTGGTGGAGGGTTAAAGGAATGAGAAGCTGCTGGTGATGGAGGGGTTAAGGGAATGAAAAGCTGCTGGTGGTGGAGGGGTTATAAAGGAATGAGAAGCTGTTGGTGGTGGTGGGGTTATAAAGGAATGAGAAGCTGCTGGTGGTGGGGGTTAAAGGAATGAGAAGCTGTTGGTGGTGGAGGGGTTAAAGGAATGAGAAGCTGTTGGTGGTGGAGGGGTTATAAAGGAATGAGAAGCTGCTTGTGGTGGAGGGGTTATAAAGGAATGAGAAGCTGCTGGTGGTGGAAGGGTTATAAAGGAATGAGAAGCTGTTGGTGGTGGAGGGGTTGAAGGAATGAGAAGCTGCTGGTGGTGGAGGGGTTGAAGGAATGAGAAGCTGCTGGTGGTGGAGGGGTTGAAGGAATGAGAAGCTGCTGGTGGTGGAGGGGTTGAAGGAATGAGAAGCTGCTGGTGGTGGAGGGGTTGAAGGAATGAGAAGCTGCTGGTGGTGGAGGGGTTGAAGGAATGAGAAGCTGCTGGTGGTGGAGGGGTTGAAGGAATGAGAAGCTGCTGGTGGTGGAGGGGTTGAAGGAATGAGAAGCTGCTGGTGGTGGAGGGGTTGAAGGAATGAGAAGCTGCTGGTGGTGGAGGGGTTGAAGGAATGAGAAGCTGCTGGTGGTGGAGGGGTTGAAGGAATGAGAAGCTGCTGGTGGTGGAGGGGTTGAAGGAATGAGAAGCTGCTGGTGGTGGAGGGGTTGAAGGAATGAGAAGCTGCTGGTGGTGGAGGGGTTGAAGGAATGAGAAGCTGCTGGTGGTGGAGGGGTTGAAGGAATGAGAAGCTGCTGGTGGTGGAGGGGTTGAAGGAATGAGAAGCTGCTGGTGGTGGAGGGGTTGAAGGAATGAGAAGCTGCTGGTGGTGGAGGGGTTGAAGGAATGAGAAGCTGCTGGTGGTGGAGGGGGTATAAAGGAATGAGAAGCTGTTGGTGGTGGAGGGGTTATAAAGGAATGAGAAGCTGCTTGTGGTGGAGGGGTTAATGGAACAATCTGTTGCTAGTAATACCGTAGAAGAGGTTAACAGAAAGAAGCGTTGCTGCGGTGACCTCTGGGCTGCAGATACCATTATGGCAGACATGTCCGCGACTGCGTGCTCGGGAAAATCGCGCATGGTTAGTGAAGAGAGGGGTAGTGGGTGTGTCTTCGGGCTTACCAGGAACAGATCCCCCATGTGACTGCATGAACACCGGTGTTCCGGGACCAATGCTCTGCTCTTCAATGCCTCGGCGCTGAGTGAGTTGTTCTGCTGGTCGTGTGATGTGCTGGTCTCTGTAGACACACCTGACTCCTCGTAGAAGGTATGGTATTCTTCACTGAAGACGTTAACAATGTATCGTTCTCTGCTGTATCATGTGGGGATTTCATGGAGGGACTAAATCGTTAGATTGAAATATTCATACACCTTTAGGCTTTCCTTCTCTTCCGCTCCTTAGTCACACTCCTTATGCTACCCCTCGTTAGTCCCTTGGGACGCATGGTTGGCCCACCTAGTTATTTGCCCACTAGCCTTTTGAGTGATCCCATTGTACATCTGTGTTACGCTATTGCTATCGTGGATATCTCCTTTGGTATTGTAATATCTCTCCATTTCAATGCATGGGCACTGTCTGATGCAACAGGTAGACAACCTCAAGCTAGTGTTGTTGTGGGTGGTAAAGGGGAATTCAGCTTTTATATATAATTGTACCAAGACTATGGGTATGATGAAGTTGAAGAACATTATCAATGTAGAAATATTTTGCTTTGTACATTGTTGGTAAACATTTACTTTCAAGTAAGATGTTATTGACAGTGCTGAGTGCCCAGAAACTGGTGATGTTCATTTAGCCCTCATTCACACAGAGTGTTGGCCCGTACAGATCTGGGCGGCGTGCTCGGCCGTATCGGGCCGTTCTCGGGAAGGACAGGAGCAGCGTATAATTTTGCGCAGCTGCCTGTTCTTCTCTATGGGAGTACGCTCACGCGAGCTGCACATCCGTGCGGTTGTCCTTGCTCGGACGCAGCCAAGATCCATCCTTTCTGCATACGAGCACGGACACCCGCACAGATGTGCAGCTCGGGTGAGCGCACAGCCGCGTACTCCCATAGAGCAGAACAGGCTGATGCGTACAATCACACACAGCACCTGTCCTTCCCGGGAACCGCCCGATACGGTCGAGCACGCCGCCGGGATTTGTACGGGCCAACACTTAGCTGTGTGAATGAGGCCTTAAAATGACACTAAACTCTTAGATCCTCAAATCATCTCTGAATTCATACTGACACTGTCCTTCCTTCTGGAGGGTGGCTACTTGTGTTAAGTAGCCACCGCTCCAAGCTCGCTCCTGTGATGGAGTGCAATGTCATGTTTGGTTTACTAATTTGTATTGCCATTGCACTCCATCACAGGAGCGAGCTTGGAGCAGTGGCTACTTTACAACAAATGTATCCACCCTCCAGAAGGAAGGACAGTGTCGGCACCAATTCAGAGATGATACATTTTTGTTACTAGTTAAGGCAATTGAATGCATTTTGAAGATTTAACTCCTGAGTTTAGTTTCACTTTTAAAGGTGAGCTCCAGGATAAGCAAATATTGTCTAAATACTAGGGCTGCAACAACTAATCGACATAATCGATTATAATCTATTATTGAAAAAGTTGTCAACTTTTTCAATAATCGATTAATCGGCTTCCACCAAGCTTGCTCCTGTGATTGACTACAATCTCAATACAAACTAGTAGTCCATCACTGGAGCCATTTTTTTTTTTTTTTAATTGTTTATCCGATTAACCGATTAATCGAACTTAATAATCGGCTAACCGATTTTGAAAATAATCGTTAGCTGCAGCTCTACTAAATACAATACATTGAAGGGAATTTATCAAACCGCGAGCAGCTGTGCATGGAAACTGGGGCTGCAGCTAACGATTATTTTCATAATCGATTCGTTAGACGATTATTAACTTCAATTTATCACTTAACTGGATAGAATAAAAAAAAATACCTTCATTTATTTAAAATAAAATACACAAATGCAGCTTTACAGACATCTAGTTTACTTCAGAATAAAACAGTATGCACATTGTTTGCAATCGCACTGTACTGGAACACAGGGTATTGCAGTACAGCATTGACAGCAGCCAGTGGGCGGGTGCAATAGCCAGCCGGCTATTGCATTTTAAAATATCCAATAGGCTGGGTATGGCTCCCAGCCTCTAGTTGCAACGGGGGTGGGGCTAAAGCGGCTGAACGGCACCGGGCAGAGGAAGAAGAGGAAGAACGAGCAGGGGAAGAGGAGATACAGAGCGGCTGCTAAGGTAGAGGGGGCAGCGGGGGGAGTGCAGAGTCACAGCCGTCTCTGCTCCCCGCTGGTTCTGGCTGCAGTAGTCTGTGTCCCACCTGCCTCTGCCGACACAGGCGGGGGATTGAAAAGGACACAGACCGCTGCAGCCAGCGGAGAGGAGAGCTGAGGAGCAGAGCGGCGGCTGCAACTAATCGAAAAGCAACTAATCGAAGATGAGAATCGTTGCCAACGATTCTCATCATCGATTATAATCGATTTAATTGATTAGTTGTTGCACCTCCTAATGGCACCCAATCAGCTTCTCTCTTTCATTTTCAAATCTATACTGAACAAACTGAAGAGAGATGCTGATTGGTTGCCATGTACAGCTGCTCCAGTTTTGATAAATTCCCCCCATTGTTCTTTAAGTAAAAACAATGTATGTTCTTACTTAAAGTGCTAGTAAACTGCTGGGTGGAGTTTTTGTCATAATGTGCAAAGTAATGTGAAAAGTATTTCAGCACTGTTATGAATCCTCTCTCCCCCACTGCCACTTCCATCTTCCCAGAAATCCTCTTCTGCCATTGGGTGGCCACTGATAAAGTAATTCCTGCGCATGCGCATCTGCCAAGGCATCAGGTCCATTGGAGAAGACAGAATATTGCAGACCAAGAAGACCGATATAAGATGACAGTATCAGCAACTAGTGGAGCACATATTTCACATTGCTGGAGGAGAGTTCACAGAGGTTAGTGTGCTCTGCTGCGCATTCTTGCACCTTATGGCACTGTCTGTTTTTCTGATCTTCACCATCTTGCAGAGCTACAGCCTGCAGCAAACACTTTTAAGTGTGCCAGAAGCCTGTGATCCATGCCGTGCGCAGCGGTTTCATCCACCAGCCCCTTTGTTACTATTGTGTCCTTTAGTGATGTAGATAATGGTGGATGACACCAAAGATCACAGTAGGGGACCAACTTGAAAGCTGTAATATTATGTGCCCAGAAAGAACCAAAAACTGGAAGAAAGATGGCCGTTTCTTTCTCCCAAACTGCTAGCATTAGATGATTATTGTTGTGATTTCAGGCCTTTTCACTCCAACTCAGGTCTGTTGCAATGTGTTAAATGCATGCAAGTTAAGGTAGTCCATTCATTTTACTAAACTGTCTAACTTACCACAACAGATCAAAAATCTATTCTGCACCATTTTCTCCAGAGCAGCGCACCACCATTCCCCATAAGTTGCAGTATGCATAACTCATGTTATATTCACAGGCCAATTCCAGCTAACCTTCAGGCAATTTCTGCAAGGGCACTTTCATCTTGGGCCAAAGTGACATCATGATTTATTGTTTAGATGTATAGGAATGCTGCAGGCCAAATGCAAAATGGGCCAAAATATTTTTTCTGATTGGTAATTTTGAGAAGCAACAGTTCTCTTTTTCTACAAACTCTTTATGGCATCAGCTATATTTCCTTTTGTCTAAGCATTAAAATGATGTCATTGCCAGCAACCTGTTCTCCTATTAGGTATTTATAACACACTGGGGTAGTAAGAAATGAGATGGAATATTTACCTGCTTTTTGACCCTCACAAGTGGGAGGTGACCGTCTGATAGTTGGTGTAGTGATATAAGCCAAAGATAAAGAAAACATAATTAAGCAGTAGTTCTCCTTCTCGCTCTGTAGATCATTAATACAAAAAATAATGCTATTTTTTCTTTTTTTCTTTCTGTTTAGGCAACACATTCATACTTTGATTTCAGTTTCCATAAATCCCCCTCTGTGCATCTTTTTTTAACCTCCACCCAGTGCTTTTATTAGAGCTGTACATAGAGATTTTTCTTTAAATTGGAAACCTTGTTTCATGTTTTTGTTACTTTATTTTTCCATATAAACATCTGATTTTTATGTTCCAGGTCAATGCTGCAGTGTCTCTTGTGGTCTGTAACATTTGGCCAGGATGCTTCCCCAGGGAAGATTGCTGCTGGCTCGAGTGTCTGGCTATTGGAAGCCTCTCTTTACGGGTCGATTTTTGTTGGTCACCAACACGGTTAGCTGTGGAGCCCTGCTGGGCATTGGTGACATCATCCAGCAGACAAGAGAAAAGCGAAGAAACCCAGAAAAACAAAGAGACTGGTTACGAACAGGTATCATTGTTACAATCTAATAACAGATGAGGAATCTTTGTGAAATTGATAAATATTATCTGTAAAGGTTGGTTCTCCACTGATAGTGGATTATGTTAGATTTTCCATCCCAAGCAGTCTATAGGAGTTGCCATTTCATGTGTTTTGAAAGTCATCCTTTTGCACCCTGACACTTGATATAAACATGCTTGTTCTAGGACAGTAACACTAGCCAAGTTGTTAAAGGATAAGGATGTCAGGCCTAAAGCATGCGCCTTCAAAAACAAGTCTGCTTTGTCATCTCACTTCTGTCCTGCCATTTCCTTTTTCAGGATCAGTGTCACTAAAGATTTTCTGAACAACGATCAGAAAACTGATACATTATTTTTCTATTGCTGAAAGTAAAAAGAAAAAAGCCGGTATACATCGGGATTTCCCAATCTATACCAGCTGTCAGAGTGACGGCAAGAGCCGCAAATGTGGCTCTGCTCTCACTCTCAGACAAAAGGTTAACTCTTTCATTAATGGATGCCTCTATACTGAGGCATTCATTAATGAATGGTAACCGCTGATTCTCAGCGGTTACCAGCATTGTAGAGCAGCAAATAACTGGTCATGTACAGTATATGTGGCCAGTCATTTGAGCACTTCGTGACGGGACGTACAGCGTACGTCTCCCGTCACTAAGTGGTTAAAGCAGGATTTCATTTTTTTTTTACCATTTGAGTCCCAGGTGCCATATTAAAACATCGGGTCTTGGCTTCAGTAGCTCCCTAGGATGCTCATTGTTGGAAGTGTCATGGTTTAGCAATAAACCCACGAACTGAATAGATCAACTCCCCGTGCTTTTCATGCCCTAAAAAGCACTGGAAGGCAAAGCTTAGCTTAGTTAATATGCAGTATACTGCCACGAGTATACTGTTTATAAATGGTACCATTCACATGGTTAGCATTGTTATGCTTCAGTGTGCACTGTTTTTTATCTGCATTGTACAAAGAAGCAAGTACTGTACATCAGTTCATTTTGTAGGAAATGCATGTTAGCTGTATATTAACATAAGCTGATCCAGGCATACATTTTTCACTATTCATTTTTTGCCTACTTCTCTTCCCTTCCAGGTAGTATGTTTGCCATAGGCTGCTCAATGGGTCCAATGATGCATTTCTGGTACTCATGGCTGGATAGGACCCTTCCTGGTCGGGGGATTAAAGTTGTATTGCAAAAGGTGTTAACTGACCAGCTGGTGGCTTCCCCTTTTCTTGGCTTCTGGTACTTTTTAGGTAAGATCTTTTGTCTCTGTAATAAATATCTTCAGTGCCCTATTAAACATTTCAGCAGTTGTGCTTTAAAACAAACATATAAGAGGCTACACAACTGCACATCACTTTTTACTGGAGGGGAATGAGAGAAAAAAAAGTGACAAAGCAGCAAGCTTCTTTATGACCTGCCATGAGCAGTGGGTGGTAGGAAATTTCTCTTTTCATCACCTAAGGAATGTACTTGACCTTGCTTTGTCCGATTTTTTAATTTTACTTACATTTTGCATCTGCTCAATGAAGGACTTTTCTCAATGGTGTAAAAAATAATAGCAGATGCTCTCTATATGTTTGTTCCTCCATCTAGCTAATGGTAGTGTATCTGCTACACTGGGGGTCAAATGGCTCTGTGCTAGATCACTGTAAGTAAAAGTCCCCATGTAACGTTTCCAAATTTTGCTTTACCTTTTCTATACTGCAGTCAAATTAAGCTGGCAATAAATTTAAGATAAGTACTCAATCTATTTTTAGTTAGATTAAGCAAGATTCTTAGATCTACAGGAGAAGATGCCCAACAGCTTAAAGGGAGGATAGATTGGACAAGCTTCAAAACCTTGTCCAGTAGGTGGGACCAGGACACCTGGCGCCTACAGCCATAAATGTGAATCCTGCTCCAAGCTTTTAAAGCTACAGCCAACAGAAGGTGCTGGCTTTTGGCTATGTTCCCATATATTATACTTGGAATGTGTACTTCAGATAGTGGGCAGTGGCACAAAGGCTTGCATGGACAAATATTTGTGAAAAAGATAAGGTTGATGAGACAGAGTTCTACTCTGTAGCCATTTCTGTTTTGCTTTGCTGAGGTGGAAGACATGTGAATCTGCCTGTTCTGCTCTGTGCTATAAATCTCTAGGATTATCTGTAAAGCTTCTATGAGACTGGACAATGGACATGTTTAGCATAATAACAAAATGATTGCTAATTGCTCATACAGATTTTTAAACATGCTAAAATATCTCTGGGAATGATTTCTGGGTAATGAATGGTCAATTATTACACAGAGATAACAAACACCCTTTTTTTTACTAGTACCCTGAGGCAAGTGTTAAGAAACAAATGATGAACAGCCTACTTGGCTGTCATATGGTCGTTTTTGTGTTTCATGCTTGTTGCAACACAGCTAAACCAGTCTTATTTAAGTGGCCATTTTATGAAAAGCAAGAACTATTTTCTCATACACAGGTATGGGTTCCATGGAGGGGCAAAGCTTGGATGACAGTTGGATAGAATTTAAAGGCAAATTTTGGGAGTTCTATAAAGTAAGTGGTCTGCATGTTTATTATTATTATTATTATTATTATTATACTGATATTTACCTTGTAAGCTTAAACCCCCAACTCCAGGCTAACTCTTTCTTTAAAGAGATGAGCTCAGGCTCTCAAACAAAAATGCTATTCTAAATGCAGCTCTTGGCACTTTTCCTACTGTCTTCCCTACAAGGGGGGTGGTAATTGGGGCTAAGGGGGCAGAGTTGGGTTTTAATTTGTGTAAGCTTCAAAATCTACACTGGTCCTTCCAATAAATGATTTTCCATTAAATCTTTGTTTTAACATTTTGTTGATCGTAATACATTTATGTAAATGTAAAATTACATGGCGTTTTAACTAACTATGTTTTTTTTCTTCTAGGCGGATTGGACTGTGTGGCCTGCTGCACAGATGATCAATTTCTACTTCTTGCCTCCAAAGTTTCGGGTCATTTATATCAATGTGATCACAGTAGGATGGGACACATACCTTTCTTACCTTAAACACAGGGTGAGACTTTTAAAGTAACTATAACCAGAGGCGGCTCTAGACTTTGTGAGGCCTTAGGCAAAACTCAAACGTGATAATGAAAAAAATGCAAATAAAAATGAACTGTATAAATTGCATATTTTATGCCAATAACCACCACCAATAACCTGCAGCAAGAGTCAGGGCAATGATAACTATTCAACAATTTTTAACATGGCTCTAGTGGTCTCTAGTGACTCCAGCAAGTGTCAGGGCCTCCAATGCCCTAATAATACTATTATTCTGCATTGCTTTATGTACTGGTGGGATTTGTATTCCTGTATAGCTGACGGTATTATGCTGTATAATGTATTGCTGAGATTTGTAGTCCTCTATCGCTGATGGTATTATTGAGGACTACAAATACCATCAGTACATACAAGCAATGCAGGTTAATACCATCAGCTATAAAGGATTACAAATCCCTTTGGTACATACAAGCAATGCAGAATAATACCATCAGCTATAGTAGACTACAAATCCCATCAGTACATACAAGTAAGAATGCAAAAATACCATTTTTTTCCCTCCAGACTACCAGTACCGATTACTTTTGCTCAAATACTCGCCGATAACAACTACCGATACCTTTTTCTTCTTTTCTTTTACGTTTGATGTCAGTTTCTCTAAAACACAGACTAATGATTCTAGGACAGTGGTGGAGCGCCAGTGCCCGGTCCCAGCTGCTGCTGCAACCGTAGAGGGACTACGAATCCCTGCAATGCAGAACAATATGAAGCTACATTCTCTGTGTTGCTCACCAGGGCTATGTGGGGTGTCAGGAGGCTGTGTGGGGTCTCACCAGGGTTACATATGGGCAGGTGCAGTCTCACCATGGCTGTGTGCGGTCTTACTATGGCTGCGCACGGTTCTCCCCAGGGCTGTGTTGGGTCTCACTATGCCTATGCGGGTGGTGGGAAGGAGGAGGAGTTGTATGGCCAGATTGGCGCTGCAAACAGCCGCTGTGAGGTCCCCAGCTTGCGCGGGACCTTACGCCAGCAGAGTCTATTTAAAAGTGTAAAGTGCCACTATCGGTGTATTTTCACGAATATTCGGGAAAATGCACTGACACTGATACTGGTATCGGTATTGGGACATCCCTACATACAAGCAATGCAGAATAATACAATCAGCTATACAGGATTACAAATCCATTAGTACAGTACACAAAAGTAATGCATAATACCATCAGCTATACAGGACTACAAATCACAGCCAGGCAGCCGACAACACCATTAAACAGCACAGCAATTTAAATTAGATTTAAAAAATGACAAAATACAAACACAAGCTTTTTCTGGTGTTTTTTACCTACTTATCTATATGTTCCTGGAGCTTTTTTCTCGCTTCTCTCGCTCTGTATCTCTTCACCTGTTGGGCCTTTGCACAGATGATATCAATCTGTCTGTACAGGCCGGAAGTTAATGATCAGGTGCCATATAAAGCGTTCTGTTCTAGATTTATGGAATTCTAATGCTGGCCATATATGTGTTAAATTTGCTTGCAACTTGTTTTTTTTCTACAAGCTTTTACCTACTGCCATGGTTTTGTCGTTTTCCAGTTTCAAGTGACAAAATTACATATTGTGGCATGAAGAAAAAAAAAACCGGAAAATGCTGTTCAAGTGTCCCTGTAGTAGTTTTTGTTTGACTTTCAGGGTTTGATCATTTACATTGAACATTGAGAAGGATGGAAAGCGCACAACAAAATAACCAAGTATATGGCTAGCATAAGTCCTGTGTGCACTATATCTTTATGTTGTTGCCTTCTGACAAACGGAATTGAGCACAGGTAAGAAATAAATTGATTTGAGGACAAGCTTCTGTTTACGAGTTTGCTGACTCTTACAACAGGCATGTTCGCTAATGTACATAAGTTCTTTGACACCAAGCCAGTATTGTAAGTAATGGTAACCTGTAATCCGCACCAGTGCCAAGAATCCATGTACAAATGGAGCTCTTTATATGTCAAATTTTACAAAAAAAAAGCACAAGTAAAATTTAGATTTTTGAGCATGCACTGGGGTTTTTATGTGAATTAAAGTGTTCAACTTGCACCCTATTAAGTATTCTTTCACTCATGTATCATGGCCAATTCCAATGTGGATATTAGAGTTTGGCGTGTCCAATGTGTATACCAGTCCATGTGGCCAGTACCTTGACGTGGAGGAGGTTTTAATTTAGTGTTGACAGATTTTAGTCTAGGTCACATACAGTAGGTTATGGCGCTAGGTCCAGCTTTGCTGCTTAGGCCATTTTTTTTCTTAAAATAAATTAGTTTTATTGAGCTTTACTTATAACAAAAACAATGATGAATAATTCAGATAACCATACAAAATATACCATAACGCATTAGCACAGGTGATTTGTGGACCAGACTAGAGCATTTATCTTCTTACATAAGACATAATATTATATAAGTAGCCAAAGAAAAAAGTCATGTAGATGATGGAATGCATGAGGTATAGAATACGGAGAAGATAACCATTTTCCCCAAATTTGTACAAATGTCTCCAGCATACCCCTATGTTGGTAAGTGTTTTTCTAAATCGATTAAACAATTAATTTCTGTCACCCATTCCCCCTTGGACGGAGGACACGCTTCCGTCCACTTAAGTATAAGCCCCTGACGTGCCACAAATAGAGCTCTTGTACAGCCAACACTCTATAGCCCTCCTATTCAGAGTGGTCAAAGACCCTGAAAATACACCCCAGGGGGGTGGAAGGTATATTGACCTCAAAAATCCAATTTATATAACTTAATATAGATTCCCAGAATCGTATTTATTTGGGACAGCACCACAGCAAATGTATCAGTGTGCCCAGCCCATTTAGAACATTTTTGACTCGATCTGATACTGATCTTAAAGATAAATTCCGGGGTTCGATTGAAAAAAATTCAATTGAATCAATCTGTGAGAAGCAGATAAGGATACCTTTTGGACTGACCTCATAATTGCCTCCCATATTTCATCTTCTAGTCTCCCTATATCTATTTCCCAACCTCCTCTACTCTATAAAGGGAATTATAAAAAATTATTAAACAGTGGACTAATTATATATACATATATATATATATATAATTAGAAATGATCCCCCTTTTGTAAAATTTGCTTAAAAGATTGTATCCATTAACTCCATTTAAGACAAGTTGGAAATTAGAAACACCAGGACTAACTGATAGAGCCCAAGGAACCTTGCACATAAATTGGTGACAATGTCCAAATCGCTGCCTCTTTCCATTAAGAAATCCTGAGAGTTTAAATGCTTCTGGGAATTGTTTGTTAGCCCATATTGGTGTAAATTTAGTAAATCCTGTACTATACATCAACAATTTATATCCTGACCATACTTTACCTATTAACGGTATAGTCGAGGCAGATAACGAAGACTCTGCATGTTGAGTAGTTTCTAAAGCAGAGGCCTTTTTGTCCAGCATCAGTACCTGACCTCACCAATACTTTTGGCAATATAGTGTATGTTGCTAGAGTAATGTTGTTCATACATGAGGTTAAATAGACACCAGGAAAGAACACTCGTAACTCCAGGCAAACAGCTTATTTGTCGCTTCTTGAAGAAGTGGTCATGGGGACTTCTTAAGTTGAGATTGTTTTGTTAGGCAATGCTGGAAAATAATGGTAGACACACAAAATATTGACACTTTGGGCCCAATTTGGACTTTTTCAGTTAGGCTGTACTCACTTTTGTTGCCAGCAGTTTAGTTATTGTGTTGAGTTATTTTGAGGGGACAGCAAATGTACAAGCTGTACACTCACTACTTTACATTGTAGCAAAGTGTAATTTCTTCTGTGTCATCACATGAAATGATATAATAAAATATTTACTAAAATGTGAGGGGTGTACTCACTTCTGTGAGATACGGTGTATGTGTGTATACACTGAGTGACCAGATTATTATGACCACCCCATCAGTACTTCGTTGGGCCATGAGATGACTTCGTTGGGCCGCCTAGTGACTCCACGAGATGTTGAAAGGTGATGCGAGGAATCTGACACTGCACTGTTGCCCTTCTGTTGTCTTGTACCAGTCTTGCCACTCTCCGTTCTGCCCTAACATTGATAGTCGCTGACGGCCACAATTCGCACGTTCAGACCCAGATTTTCGGCTGACAGTCCAGTCTTTAAACACTTTAACAGCTGCTCTTGAACATTTAACGAATTCTGCTGTTTTGCTGATACTCGCGCCATGGCTCTAAGCGCCAACAATCATCCCACAATCAAAGGATGTTAAATCGCGTTGTTTACCCATATCTTCAGAAAAAAATCACTTCTACTGTCGTGATAAACAACCTTTCTTCCCTATTTACAATGGTCTGGCCTTCTAGCAACTTCAGCGCGAAATTATAGCTAATTTGCCTACAAACGTCAGGTGGTCATAATAATATGGCCACTCAGTGTATACTTAGAGTTTTACAATTCACGTTATTTTAAATCCATGTGACTAATTTAAAATGTTTAATATACATACAATTATTTAAAAGATTATATTAAAAAAAAGGTGGGAAAAGTAATTTTAAGTTTCGAGTTGACACATTTTGCTGTAAAAGGTATGTGCGGTACTGCAATGCGTTCCAGTGCAGTTCAATTTCAAAAAAGGTGCATACAGTTTTATTCTAAAGTAAACTTTGTATTTTTGTGTATTCCACTTTACATCAATAGGAAGGGCACTCCCAGCAGCTGTCACTTCAATAATTTTACAAGCCTGGTGAGGTAAAAGGAAAGTTATGCTTGGAAATGCTGCTAAGGGGGGTGAGGGAGGATTGTGGGTAAACTAGGGTAATCCCTGGACTTATTCTTAAAACCCTTTTGTGTATAAGTATATATATATTTTCTTATTCTGTATATCAAAGCATTTTTTTTTCTTTGCTGAACAAATGGGGAAAGGTTAACAAAATGAGAGGTTAGATATGTCAGATTTTTATTGATGTATTTTTCACTGGGACACGAACCGAGGGAAAATGCAGGATCAAGAACACGGGTAGTAATGCAAAACAAGAGAATTCAGTAAAAAAAAACAATGCCCAGAGTTTAAATTCTCCTTCTTTAGTTAAATCCATTTCTCCATATTAAAATGCTAATACATTAATTTAAAACTGTGAATGGTAAACCAGTCAAAAAAAAAGTAATTTTTTGTTTGTGCTTTTGTGTTTTGCAGCCTGAAGAATCTGCTAAAGAACCAAATAGACACGTTCCAGATGAAAGTGTGCCTCTCACCACGATGTCCACTCACTTGCCAAAAGCATTAGATAAAAATGTCTAAGTGAAAGCTGCTAGCTGTCTATAAAATGTGCCTTGTGCATATATCTATATCTTTGATGCTATAGCACCATCCATATGCCATTTTTCTTGCAAGGGGAAAAGAAGTATGTGGTTGCTTTTGATAATGCTGACACATATTGCCATTTTTTATTTTATATCTCAAAGGAATTATTTAGAATACTAAGCTGCCAAAACAATATTGCTGTATATTTCTGAATTTACTGCCTGTGTGAAAAAGAAAGTGAGGCAGGTATTCTTGTGTATTGATATGTAAAATCCAATGGTCACTAAAAACATATGTTTGTAATCAGTGCTAATTTTTTTTGTAAATTATGTATATATAATTAAAATTTAATTTATTCCGTGCATCAGTGCAATATATGCTATGCTCGTCTACAACCTGTTTATGCAGAGAGACAATTATCCAGAGGGTAATCAAAGTGTTTGATTTAAAGGTATACCTGTCATAAGTACTGGGACTGCCATTGCTGGCCTGCTTCTGAAAATGTGTATTACAGACACTGTATGTATGTCTGAGTCACAGACTTGGCAAAAGCATGTTGTGTCATACATTTTTTTAATCTCTATATTTGTTCTGGGTCCATGACCTGGCACGTGTCTAATGGCAAAACATCTGCATTACAGCCAGGGAACTAGCATTCTTATCTAAACCCAAAAACAAATGTTTAATATAATGAAGTTTACAGTTACTGCATTTGTTTTTTGTTTCTCATCCTGTTGTAGTTCACTCACTGTACTGTATCTATGCAGAAGCAGCTTTTTCATCATAGGGCAGGTCTTCACTTGACTCTAGCATTTTTTTGTTTTTTTTTTTTTTTTTTTTTTTTTAAGCAGATCTAACATAACACTTTCAATGGTATAACAGGCCAAAAAGGTCTAAATAAGAGAAGTTCATTGTTTTTCGGTTTACATACCCTTTAAAAGAAGAGGTCGGTAACGACTGCCTTCATTATTCTTTCATGACAGATGTACTAGAAGTGTACTTAATTAAAATGCCCTACACATTTCCTACCCTGCAGCCCTTGAAAAATAACTCCGTAGGTATACAGATCTTGGACAACAACCAATTTTGGTTCATTAGTTTTTTCACATGATAAACCTCTTAGGAGCTTGATACTTGGCAGCGTTGCACATACACTAGCACCACGCCATGAAGAATAATGGCCAGTTTGTCCCTGCGCTGGCCATTAATAGTGCTAACATAATTGCTACGTTATGCATTTTGGATAAACACATGATTTGTCGAATCAGTATGCTTTATTTGCAATATTAATTTACTCATGTTAATTAGTAAATTATTAGAACACGTGATGGAGTACAATGTGTTCTTTTTCAACATTGTTGGACTCCAGTCCCGTTGTAATTCTCAGCCTTGTCTGTTTATTTTTTTTTTGTTATGGATCTAGTGTTTTGCCATGCTTCTTATGTCATGTGTTGCATTAGGACAACTCATTCAAATAACAATGTCCACAATGGACAGAAAATCCAACATGCAGCATTTTTTCCAATGCAGTGCACCACAAAGCATAGTTTTGTGTTGCAATGCATGTGCATAAAGCTGCACAGGTGTGCCATTAACAATTAATAGCATTGCGTTGCAAGGTGTGCGTGGTGTGTTGCCGTAATGTTTTTGTTAACATACTGGAACGGATTGGTGTAAATAGGCCCTAAAATAGTTTGTAAGATGAATATTAAATATGGCGTATTGATATTTTGAAGTCTTGTTTTGAGCCAGCAGCCTCAAGGCCTTTTTTTTTTTTTTTTAATCCTTAAAGTGACCATGTCAGGTAAGAGAAAAGATCAAGATGAAGCTTTGCTGCAAAAGAAGAGCTCCTAAACTTGCCTCACCTGTGTCCTACCTCCCCTTTGTTCCAGCACTTCAGCCTCAGTCTGTGTCTTTGGCATTCAACACGTTGGCATTCAGTTAAAACAACCCTAGTTGCTAAAGCAAGTAAAAAAAAAATTAAAATATGTTCCTTTTTGACCCCTGGTTCTTCCCTAATTAATTCCTTCTGCCTTCTCCCCTTAGTTATTGTTGCTGTTTTTTGCCATTGTTGCTTTAATTCTTTTACATTTTTTTCACTTTATCAAAGTAACATAGTAGGTGAAGTTGAATAAAGGCAAGGGTCCATACAGTTCAACCTATGTGTGTATGTGATGGTGTGTCTGTATTTATCTTGCTCTAACACTGCCCATATCCCTGTAAATTAAGTGAAATAAGAAACTCAAGTTTCTTGAATTTGTCATCGTTCTCAGTGGAGACCACCTTCGGTGGAAGGGAATTCCACAATTTCACAACTACTACAGTAAACCCCTCCCCGCTGCCTGATGGCTCTTTCAACTTCGTCCCACAAATGCTCAACTGGATTGAGATCTGGTGATTGTGGGGGCTACCTAAGCAAGGTAAATTCTCCCTCATGTTCTTGAAACCACTCCTGCACAATACGAGCACCGTGGCATGGCGCATTGTCTTGTTGGAAGAAGCCATCTCCATTGGGATACACCATCAACATGAAAGGATGAACTTGATTAGCAACAATACTTTGGTATGTTGTGCTATTCAGACGTTGTTCCACACGCATTAAAGGGCCCAAATCATGCCAGGAAAACATGCCCCAAACCATAACACTGCCCCACCAGCTTGCAGGGTTGTACTCATGCATGTGGGGTGCATGCTTTCATGCTGTTTCCGCCAAATTCTCACTCTGCCATCTGCATGATGCAACTGGAAACGTGATTCATCGGACCACATTACTTTTTTTTCCAATGCTCGACTGTCCAATCCTTGTGTTCCTGTGCGAATTAGAGACGTTTTATCTTGTTAACTGCAAAGGTTATCGAACAGGCCTTCGGCTTCGATATCCCATACGATGCAGTGTACGGCGAACTGTGCGTTCAGAGATCATTTGAGAGGATCCCTGGTTAAGATCTGCAGTAATTTGATGCACTGTTGCCCTTCTGTTGTCTTGTACCAGTCTTGCCACTCTCCGTTCTGCCCTAACATTGACTAGTCGCTGACGGACACAATTCGCACGTTCAGACCCAGATTTTTGGCTGACAGTCTAGTCTTTAAACACTTTAACAACAGCTGCTCTTGAACATTTAACGAATTCTGCTGTTTTGCTGATACTTGCTCCATGGCTCCTAGCGCCAACAATCATCCCACGTTCAAAGGCTGTTAAATCGCGTTGTTTACCCATATCTTCAGAAAAAAAATCACTTCTACTGTTGTGGTAAACAACCTGCTTCCCTATTTATAATGGTCTGGCCCTCTAGCAACTTCAGCGTGAATTTATAGCTAATTTGCCTACAAACGTCATGTCATAATAATCTGGCCACTCAGTGTATAATGTGGTAGTATCACTTTTTTTTTTTAATCTCTTACTGCGATCCCTCTTTTAATGCACTCCAATGTCCGGTTTTCTCTGCTGGCTGCTGTTTTGGCATTGCTTACTATTGCCAAATCTGTGAGCACCCCCAGGTCTTTTTCCATGTCCGACTTCCCTAATGTAGCACCCCCATGTAGTAGTTTGCGCACGCGTTTTTTGCTGCCATGTGCATAACCTTACATTTTTCAACAATAAATCGCATTTGCCATCTTGTAGCCCATGCCTCCATTTTATTAAGGTCCTGTTGGAATGCAGTTATCTTCTGTTCAGAATTTACTGCCCTACACAATTTTTTGTATCATCCGCAAAAACCGAAATCTATCTTTTTAGTCCAATCTCTATGTTGTGGATGAATAAAATGAACAAGATTGGTCCCAGGACTGAACCGTGAGGCACCCCACTCGCAACCTTTGCCCAATTAGAAAATGGCCCATTTATGACCCTGTGGATCCGTTCTTGCAGCCAATTTTCCACCCATGTACTTACAATTTCATCCAACCCGATAGACCTTAGTTTATGGGGTACTGTGTCGAATAATTTATCAAAAAAAAAGATACACCACGTCCACTGGTAGCTGACCTCCCCTCGTAATCCTTTATGGGGCCTACATGTTCTGTCCTCTTGCTATTGCTCTAGCTATTTGTGTATTTAAAGAACTTCTTGGGCTTCCTTTTGCTATCTGTTCCTCGTATTCTATTTTTGCTGCCCTGATTGCTTTTTTACATCTTTTGTTGCAATCTTTGTAGTTTGTGAATGCCGATGCTGACCCCTCTGACTTATATTTTCTGAAGGCTCTGACTTATATTTTACTTTTCCCTTATGTGTTGTTTTACCTTGCTAGTTAACCACCCAGGTCTAACCTTCGCTTTTTTGAATTTATTGGTAAATGGAATGCACTGGGCAATTTTGTTATTTCAAATATCCTTGAAGCTATCCCATTTTTCTTCAGTGTTCGTATTCAGGAAGATTGCATCCCAATTTATGTCTCCTAGTAGGTTTGGAAAATGGAAATTAAGTCCTTGAGACAACAGGAAGTGAGAGGAAATCTACCCCTAGGAAGGGAAATTCAATCCTGTAAGAGTTATCATGGGAAAAAGGTGTCTCCACTGAAGATTTTTCACCAATTCTTGTTTCCACGACAACCCAAATTTTTCAAAATACAAATGTCACCGGGACAGAAAGTGAGGTGAAATATTCTAAATGGGCACAGACAGCCAACCAAATGTGACAGGGGGTTAACCCTTCCCTATGCTATCCAAAGTTAAAAAAAATAATTTGGGGGCTAGAGTTACACTAAAAAAAATTACCTGTTCTAACTTATATACAAATTTAACTTAAGAACAATCCTAGAGAACCTATCTTTGTAACCCGGAGACTGGCTGTATTGCCGAATAAATAGGGCAATTGCTGAAATGTAAAAAATTGCTAAATAAAGGTTTTTTTTTTTCATTTACAGTCTCTGACTGCAGTGAAGGGTGGAAAGGTTAAAGAAACTGTTCCTACTGAAAAGTTGCTGATAGGCATTAAGTGCAGCACCTCTGCTTCACTGGAAAGCCAGACACTCTAAATCAGGCACTGGAGTTCCTCATAGTGCTGAAGCACTGTTCCTATAAAGGCTCAGCTACTCCCAAATTTAGTGTGTAACATGAAGCATTGTTGCAAACATCATACCCAGAACCCAAATATTGGATATTGTCAGGATCTACCCTGGCACCTGATTGAACGCTGGCTCTGCCTCTCCAGTCAGTATTGGAGGAATCCCCGCCGGGAGTGGTGACTGACAGGGAGAAGACCTGGAACTGAGCAATCAGCGGTATGTGATCGCTCAGTTCTCCATCAATAGAGCTCATCGGCTCTAACTACTGGGATGAGTGTATTTCACGCTCCTTTAAACCCATGACAAAATATGTATTTAAACTATATCTAAATCCAACCCCCTTTTTCTTTTTTTTAAGACGGCACAATTAGAACCTGTTTTTATTGCTATTTGTCCTGGTGATCATTGATGCTGGAACCGAAAGTGATGAGAAATACAAACTTTTTTTAGGTTTTTGCTGCAGCAGGAAATAGATCTTTCACGGCTTGTTCACCTAATGTCCAGTGAGTTGTATTTTTCTGCACATCTCCACACGTATGATGTGTACAGGGCATATAGAAGCAATTGTTTCCTGTTCCATGTTCACACCACACGTCCCTGCCCACTCCGCTGGGCTCGTCGGCTGTGAGCGGGAGGGGCAGAGAGTGTCATCTGACACTCCCGGCACAGAGATGGGGGGCCTGCCACCCGCCAGATACTGATCTTAACATCTGACAATCCAAGTTTGCTGGGATGTGTAGTCCTCTATAGCCTGTGCCATTCTGCATTGCTGTAAATATTAGGGCTGCACCAATATATCGGCCACCAAAAGATATCGGCCGGAAATGGCACTTTTGGCTAAATTCCAAAAGTGCCATTTTTCTGCTGAACAGCGGCGCATCTGTGCTTTCTTTCCTCCCCGCTGGGCGCTGCTCTGTGTCCCAGCGGGGAGGAAAGAAAGTGATAGCCGGCCGAGCGCTGCGGGAGAAGAGCGCTGTGTTTGTGGGTTTTGGGGGGGGGGAAATCTTGCACCAGATCCCTTTGTTCTTTGGGTTGGGTCCGCCACTATCTGCAGCCATTCTTTTTAATAAATACTGGTTTGAACAAATATAATAATAAACTCCTTGGGTTTCAATTGACTATTCGCAGCAAGCACAGAGCTGAAGAGCTGAAGCATATACATGAACACTCTATCTACTGCTGTCACAGCTTTTCAAAGAACCATCACATATAACAGCTGGTTGAATGCGGACTCATCCAGAGCTCAGTGCAACAAAAGACTAGAAGTACCACATTCCCTTATGTTATAATGTTATGATTGTCTCCAGAAAAAGCAAACACGCTTGTCTTAGTTTACAGAAAACAGGCACTCCCTTTAAAAGCATAGAAAGGAGACATGTGACGATCGGTCACATGATCGCGCCGTCACTAAAGGTCCTTTACCCTTCTGTTCTGTATCTCATTCCGGTCGTCTCACGTTCTTCCGGCAGAAGGTATGTTGTGTAATGCAGACGTTACATTTGGAATTGGCACAGATTCATAAATTATCGTTTGGGTCTAATACAACCGTTACTACCAGTTTTACCTTATTTTTTTAAATCACTGTTATTAGAAGTGTAGTGAAAAGGTATAATCAAGTGTACGACTTGGGGGAGAAGTTCCAGATTTGACCAGCAGGTGGCGCTGCAGGTAGTGCTGCGCTCCAATTATCCTTTCTAAGGTCAAATGGAAAAAAATTATATATATATATAATGGTGCCTTTTAATGTGTGTTACCCTATAGCGTGAACAAGCCATTCACACTAAGCGTTCTGTGTCCTAAAAAAACTGCCCAAAACAAATCGCATTCATTTCTGTAGGGATGAGCAAAAAAGCTGTCGCCTAGGTGTGAATGCAGCCTTAGTGTTTTTTTTAATCATATAGATGCGTGCTTGCCAAGTTATTTTCCAAGCAGCGTTTTGTCACACGTTTTTCAGTTGTGCTTTCCTCCCTTTTGTTTCCCAGTGTTTTCTGCAGAGGAAGGCTGGCTCTTGTGCAACAGAATACTCAAAAAATGCTCATTTCATACTGCCCAGCTTCCTGATTGCCCGGGAAGCCGGCTCCATGCCAGCAGAAGCACCGGTATTGGTACTCATATTGGCGAGTACCGAAAGCAAAATATCGTTACTCGTACTCAATACCGGAAAAAGGTATAGGTGATATCACTATTATAAACTGCAGGATGGATGTTAGTCAGTGTATTTATGATGCTCTTTAGACTGTTAAGAAGAAACACTACAATAGTGAATTAACACTAATTTATGTCTAGTGGCTATGACTTATTTGAAACCCAACGTGGGGCACCTGACAACAGAAACCCTTGTAGTGGGGCTTGTCCACACTGCAAGGGTTAACTGCACATAAAGCCTAGGGGGTGCAGGGGTTAGGAGTGATACGTAACTGGCATGGCTCTCTTCATCTGTGCAACTGGTCCTGCAAAGCCTCTTTTCCAAGTAGCTCCAATCACAGTTGTACACTCCTCCATGTACAGTGCAGGGTTAATAGTCCTACATTGTACATCGGGGTGGGAAACCTCTGGCCCTCCAGCTGCAGTGAAACTTCAGATCCTTTAATGCAGGGATGGCCAAACTGCGGCCCTCCAGCTGTGGTGGAACTACGAATCCCATGAGGCTTTGTAAGATTCTCGCAGCCACAGATATGACTCCCGGAGAGAGATGCTTCATGGGATTTGTAGTTTCACCACAGCTGGAGGGCCGCAGTTTGGCCATCCCTGCTTTAATGTTTCTGTCTCTGGGAATCATGCCTGTAAAGGATGGACACCGGCACTCCAAAGCAAGTTCAGTACATGTTTATTGACATACTAGTTGCAAGTAGAACACTCTAGTTTCAGGGTCTCACAGGATTCCCTTCATCAGGCACACAAGTGGGAATCATGCGTGTCTCATCTTGCAATGCCTCATGGGATCGGTAGTTTCACCACAGCTGGAGGGCCGGAGGTTTCCCACCCCTGTTGTACATGATGATGCTGAAGGGCTGTCTGGAGTGCCAGGGAAAAGAAGAGGTGTTTGCTGGAGCAGGGGTTAGTAACATTTCTTCTTGTACCCACTAGACCAGGGCTGGGAAACTCTGGCCCAACATCTGTTGTGGAACTACATGTCCCACGAGGCATTGCAAGACTGACAGTTACAGGCATGACTAGCAGAGCTAGAGGCATGTTGGGATTTGTAGTTAAAGCACAGCTGGAGGGCAGTTGTGCGCAGTGTGAGGCATCAAAGTACAACGAAAGGAAACCTAGTCTCCTAATCCATGCAAGAACCCCCCCAGGTGCGTACCTACCTCTTCCTGATGGCAGTGATGTCCAACATGGTTAAAGCCTGGGTTTTGAAATCTTCTCCAGTGCTGTCTACGCCTGTACAGTAACTCTCAGACTCGAACTGGCCATACACATAGGTGTGGGCAGTGTCGTCTGTGTGTGGAGCAGAGGGGAAGTGTGTTTTCTTTTTCCATGTACTTTTGGTTTCTGAAAATGTGCCCACTCAAATGTAAATATAGTGCTTTAGAAGATTATTTCATTTCTGATGTTTAACTGACTTTTGTATCTTCCTCTAGGTGCACAGTTTGGTCCTTGCCTGCTCAATGCTTATCTGCTGGCTACAGATTTGTGAAAACAATGACTCTCCAGGGTAGGGTATTAATAAAGCAGCTTACGGGCTGTTGGCACAAAATGTTTACAGAGCAAAATTTGCTGGTGACAAACACAGTGAGCGGTGGGATACTCTTGGCTGTAGGAGATACTGTTCAACAGACAAGGGAGATCAGAAAAGATCCTGAGAAAAGTCGAGACTGGCAGAGGACAGGTAAACATTCAAAATGAATACTTTGTTCTTGTATCTGTCTGCAGTGGTTGTAAATAAAAGCACCCCATTCAAAAAACAGTTATGGGCTATATTTTTCTTTAGGCATGCACTCCATGGTGTGGAAGCAGCTCCATTCCTGAATAGATTTAAGGCTTAACATTCTAATACATATATATTAAATATGATCATTAACTCCAATTTGTTTAATTTCTGTACAATTAATTTACTGGATTTATTGTTTAAAATTTGCAATCTAGGCACATTTGTTTGCTTTGAGGCTGTATAAAAATATGGGCTGGATGCATATGCAGTGGTGTAAAGCACGCCACCACTGGACTCTAGAGAAGTGGAGACGTGTTCTCTGGAGTGATGAATCACGCTTCTCTCTCTAGCAATCTGATGGACGTGTCTGGGTTTGGCGGTTGCCAGGAGAACAGTACTTGTCTGACTGCATTGTGCCAAGTGTAAAGTTTGGTGGAGGGGGGGTTAGGGTGCAGGGTAGTTTTTCAGGGGTTGGGCTTGGCCCCTTAATTCCAGTGAAGGGAACTCTTAAGGCATCAGCATACCAAGACATTTGGGACAATTTCATGCTCCCAACTTTGTGGGAACAGTTTGGAGATGCCCCCTTCCTGTTCCAACATGACTGCGCACCAGTGCACAAAGCAAGGTCCATAAAGACATGGATGAGTGAGTTTGGGGTGGAGGAACTTGACTGGCCTGCACAGAGTCCTGACCTCAACCTGATAGAACACCTTTGGGATGAATTAGAGCGGAGACTGGGAGCCAGGTCTTCTTGTCCAACATCAGTACCTGACCTCACCAATATTTTTGGCAATATAGTGTATGATGCTAGTGTAATGTTGTTCATAAATGAGGATTAATAGACTCGAGGAAGACTCGTAACTCCAGGCAAAAAGCTTAACTGTCGCTTCTTGAAGAAGTGGTCATGGGGACTTCTTAAGTTGAGATTGTTTTGTTAGGCAATGCTCCTGTTTTAGATAGCCGGAGGATAACTGCAGCTTGTGCAAAACACGGGCAATCGGAAAAATAGTGCAAGCTCTGGTCAAAACAGGCACATATGTTAATAGGAGCGGCTAAACAGATTTGCACATACAAAAAAATGATCTAAGAGGCTAAAACAGTCACAATTGCTTTGATAAATTCCTCCCTATGTGAACGGAAATAAAACTGACATTGTGCTGGAATATGAATAGCTGATTGTTATCTCGCCACAGTATACAGTACATGATTGACTTGCCAAGGAAACTTTGTGTTTAGAGCTAGCTTGCCATATGGAGAGCTGTTGCCTTGCAACGTGATGTCAGCCACTCTAACAAAACAGCAAAGTCTCGCATGACTCAGAAGGAAGGAAAGAAGATGACTGTGTCTCTATAACGAGATTGATGTTGTAGGCACCGCTGTGCTGGGGACCTATGGGAGCCTTCATGATAGTTTAGAAATAGGTGTTTTATTTTAATTTTTTTCCATATGAATGAACTATGTGCTATGCTGGGTTAATGTGCTCACAAAGCTTTAGTTGAATGTATTATATTAATCTACAGCTCTCATACATCTCTAACTTGGGGACATTGAAAATCATTGTATTAACATGATAATGATTACCATTTAAGAATTATTGAGTTCAAATGTTAATATTTTTCTACTTAAAATACTGTTACAGGTAGGATGTTTGTCATTGGTGCTTGCTTGAGTCCAGTGGATCACTATTGGTATATCTGGCTGGATCGTGCATTACCGAGTGCATCAATGCGAACAGTAGTGAAGAAAGTTCTCATTGAACAAATTCTGGCATCTCCCATCGTTAATGCTCTATTTTTCTTGGGTAAGACGTTAAATGTGGTCAGCAAAGCTGTGAAGCTCATTGTGATATATACAGGTACATGCCTATGGCAATTCAAAAGCATCTGAAGCTCAGAAGTGATCTCAGAAGTATCCCACACTGATGTCCAAAGCACGCTGCTTTTGCCCTTTAACCCCTTCGTGACGGGAAACATACACTGTGCATCCCGCCACGAGGATGCTGACGTACACTGTATGTGATTAACTATTTGGTGCTCTGTAATGCTGGTAACCGATGAGAATTAGTGATTACCATTCATTATTGGATGCCTCAGTATTAAGGCATCCATGAATGAAAGAGTTAAGCTTTTTCAGATACCCGATTCCCGACCGACAGAGCAGAGCTGCATTTGTAGCTCTAGCCGTCACTGACAGCTGGTATAGATCGGGAAATCCCAATGTATAGCGGCCTTAGTGAAAAGTGTAAAAAATAAAGTGTAAAAAATAAATGTAACAAAGATTATATATTTAAATACATTTTTATACTATGATTAATATAAAAGTTAACCCATTACAATGAAAATCAGCTTTGGTTTCACCCTAAAGGGTTAATTTTTTAAATTTAACCCCCTCATGACTGTGATGTTCAAAGTATGTCGCTGTCACTAAGTGTGACACTCAGTGACAGGGACATTGTATGCCAGGTGACCACTTTTACCTTTAGTTTTTTAGAGAAAAAAAAGATTAAAATGTTAGGTTTTAGTTTTAGGCCGAGAAGTACAGAAACATTTCTAAAATCCTAGGGATGCAAGGGGTTTACAAATAAAGGACAAATAAATGAATGTATTTAATGCATTTTTTTAGATGTGCTATTTATCTAAAAAATACTGCAAATCAAAACTGGGGAAAAAAAGAGTTTTCTTTACGTTTTTTCCTCTTTTTTTAATATTTTATTTGTCCTAAGTGAGGCATTAGGTACACATATGTGATATAAATATAGAGCCCTATCTGTCCTCTAAAAAACAATATACAATATGTGTGGGTGCACTTTGTAAGAACGAATATTACTGACATAGAAGAATCCCACAGCAAAAATGTAAAAAGTATGTCAGTCATTTAAGAACAGAAACTAAAAACAAGCTCAGTCATGAAGGGGTTAAAGCCCGTTGACACAGGCCCTTAGGGTAGTTATGAGTAGACTAATGATCCAGGAACACAACATGTTGTAGACTTATGAAATCTAAAAAGTATCTGGTATTGGGAAATATAAGAACTGGGTGTTTTTATATCTACATGATACAATGATATAACAAAAATATACTACCGTATATAAAAATGATGACTTGTGTTATGTGGACAGTTTAGATATTAATCATGTATAGTGAAGTTTATCACAATGTTTTCATACAAGACAATCTAGGTCTCGTATGGAATGCAAGTTGTTTAGGTTATCAATTCTTCCTTGCACTGCCTATAGAATATGATTATGACCAAGTGAGGAACTAAAAAAGGGATTCCCATCTTACTTGCCACACTGTTACCCTGGCCATACACCTTAAAGTGACACTAAACTCAGTTATATCTTAACAATGCATTTAAGTACCTTAATTATGAACAATCCTGTATCTTACTTGGCTGTAGATCTTCAGATCATCTCAGAATTGGTGCTGACACTATCCTTCCTTCTGGAGGGTGGCTACTTTTGTTGTCCATGGTGTGTGTGTGTGTAAGTGTATGTGCACGTTCCAAGCTCACTCCAGTGATAGCTTATTTGTATTGAAATTATAGTCTAATACTAATAACTAAACATGAGATTGTAGTCCATCACGGGAGTGAGCTTGGAGCGGTGGCTACTTTACAACACACACAGGGACCATGGGGAACAAAAGTAGCCACCCTCCAGAAGGAAGGACAGTGTCAGCACAAATTCCGAGATGATTTGAGGATCTGCACCCTGCAGAAGGAAGGACACTGTCAGCACCAATTCAGAGATGATTTGAGGATCTACAGCGATACACAAATAAGCTAGATTTTTGTTAATAGTTAAGGTACTTGAATCCATTTTCAAGATTTAACTCCGGAGTTTAGTGTCACTTTAAGATTTTTCTTGTTCAGCCTCACGGGCCAAACGAGAAAAATCACTTGATTTCCAGATCCATGATGGATGGAGTAATTGTATTCTGACAGCCAGCACCTGTGGCTTTCAGAATACCCAGACAGCTACTGCAGCTGATTGGCTTTTGTCCAGCCATGTGGTAGCAGCACGGCCACTCACGGATTTAATTTGGGCCGATTCATCAGGAAGTGTGTTAAATTGTCACATTTTAGCTTAAACAACTCAAGGTTACATTAGGAATATGGACGTACCGATACAGATACTGGTATTGGTGTCGATACTGAGTATTTTTTTTTACTCCCAATGCTTATTCCGATACTTGAATTTCTGGTATCAGGGACCTGGGTAGCGAGTCATTACAAGCCGCCAGGCTTCGTGATTGGTCGGGAAGCCGGCCCCATGCTCCCTTGTCACCAGGAAGCATGGAGCCACCCAATCAGGAAGCTGGCGGGCGAGTCATTACCCACCCACCGAGTTCCTGATTGGCCAGGAAGCCGGCTCCATGCTCCCTCATAACTTGACGAGAGCATGGAGCCAGCTTCCCGGCCAATCAGGAAGCCGGACGGTGTGTATCGCTTTGTTGCCCGGCTTCCTGATTGGTCAAGAAGCTGGCCAATTGGGAAGCCGGGCAGTGAGTCATTACCCGCACCCAGCTTCCTGATTGTCCAGAAAGCCGTCACCTGGTGACGGGAGCATGGAGCCGGCTTCCTTGCTAATCAGGGTGCCGGGCGGCGAGTCATTACACGCCACCCGGCTTCTAGGCTAATCAGGAAGTTGGGTGATGAGTCATTACGCGCCGCCCGGCTTCTTTAATGGGACTTACTGTAAACTTTAAATGCAGCTTCCGTAGATGAAGCTTGGAAGCCTATGTCATATTTATTTGTCAGTCTCTTACAGTGATAAAGAACAGGATAAAACATCATGACTAATAAGCCCCAATGGTATAACAGCATTATTTTTTTTAAGATGATGTTTTGTTTTATTGTTATAGGTATTGGCTCCTTGGAGGGACAAACTCTGAATGGGAGCTTGAATGAATTTCGAAGCAAATTCTGGGAAATGTATAAGGTGGGTGATGGAGGGATGGGCAAATTAACTCAAAATAAATCCAACCCTGCGGAAAAATTTGCGTACTGTTACATAACAATCAGTTCATACCTTTACCTACTTTTCTTGGTTCAAGGCACCATCCCATCACCATGGCCACCACCTCTACTACATTATGCTGATCCATCACAGCTTATTAAGGAACATACAATGCCATAATGCAGGAGAGCTAAACCTTTCTGGCTCAGATTAAGCGTAATACGTTGAGGAATTGCAACACCCAGTAGCCCCCCTTCCCGTCGCTAAAAAAACAACAGCTCTGCCCCTGCATTTGATAGATAGACAATGTACATGGGTCTCAGCTTTGTTATTATCAGCATGTACAGCAAGCTTTGACAAAGTATTTGCAAAACTCTAGTAAGCTTTGAGCAGCTTTCTAGAAACCTTTATTCTGGGTTTGAAAGATGTTAAAGGTAACCTTTCCAGAGAGAAACACATAGGCTGACATTCCTACTTCATAATCTGCACCTGCTAGTTGCCTGGCTGTCAATGCTGACACTCTTGTATCAGTCAGTACTTCCAGTCAGTGACCTAAAACATATCCCTGATCTGCATAGTTTAGGCCAGGGACTCAAAGTAGTAAGAAATAAGTTGATAATGTCAGACCCCATGTTTCTCTCAGAAAAATGTTGCTTTAAACACATTGCTTAATGGGAGTGCTGGCTATTACGGTACTTTAAAGGCCAATTTCAACTCATTGAGGGGAATTTATCAAAACTGGAACAGACAAAATCTGGAGCAGTTGTACATGGCAACCAATCAGCTTTTTTCTTCAGTTTGTTCAGTTAAGATTGGAAAATGAAAAACAGAAGCTGATTGGTTGCCATGCACAGCTGCTGCAGATTTTGTCTGCTCCAGTTTGGGAAATTCCCCTCTCTATATTTAGAACTGAGCAGCATTGTTGATTAGAGCAGTGTTGTGCCAGACCTTTGAAGACCCGTGCTGCTACATTGTATGCTAAGGTGCCCATACACTGTGCGATTATCGCACAATAATCGCGGGAAATCCCGCGACTGTACGATAATCGCAAAGTGTATGGAAGGTGTGCGACCGTTTCTACTGTACGGTCGCACGTCTTCCGCCGAACAAGCAGGCTGGAAAACCCGCCGGGAATCGTACGATTCTCGGTGGGTTAGTGGCGTGCTTGTTCGACAACTGCTGAACGGGCCGGTGTGCGCACCCTGCCCGCTCACCATTGCAATCATCTGCAAGCCCTCCCCTCAGCGGGGAGGGCTTGCGATGATCGCAAGTACGATCTGCCTGTCCGAGATGGGCAGATCGTACGAGCTTTTAATAAGCTTACGACCATCGCAAGACAAAAGTCTTGCGATGGTCGTAAGGTGTATGGGCACCTTAAGAGCTGTGGACCAATGCTTCAGCATGCTGCCAGGACATGGTATTTTAACCATTCCTGCAGCACGTAGCAACTAAATAATCCTGAAGCACAACATATTTATTGCTGTATAGGCAGCCTGACTGAGAAAGTAAAATATGTATTACTTTAATATAAATACTTAGAGAAGGTTCAATTAAGTGTTACACAATCTACTAGCAGCATTTTCATACATTTCATGCAGTGATGAAGCTTGCTAAATCCTGCTAATAGCTTGTGTAAGTGAAAACGTTATTCTCATTAGGATTTATGTTATGTAACATTCTCAAACCAGAGCAAAGAGTTGCTTTAAAGATTTTCAAAAATGTTGCTCTTAAAGAAAAACTCTGGGCAGAAATTTTGTTAACCCCTGCACTGCACGGTTTAAAAGGAGAACTATAGGGGGCGTGGCCTGGCTCGAGACCAAGATGGACGCTTGAA